TGACAATCTATTCCCTGAAACACTAACCTCCCTCAAGACCTACTCACAGTGTGCACTTTGCTTTTCTAAAAGTTGAAAGACAAGGAGTATCTCTCAATCAGGGAATCGAACCTTGGTCTTGTGCATGAGAGACAGAGACACTCAATACTATAATAGTGGGGAAAAAGAGAGTGCAGTAAACATGTTAACCACGAGACAAAGTGAAACACTTTCTCTGTTTCATCTTTTGGATACTTCCAGATTTACATACAAGCTTCTGTGTTTGAGATTTGACCAGGAACACTGCCACAATGTGGCCAGAGGGGGTGTTACATATGTACTGAAAAGAATTACCATTGGTAACTGCAAAAATCAGAAGGAAAGTAGGATCTTACTGAGCCCTGCAAGGGACATTGGAGAAAAAAAATGAAAATGAACTGTTGCGAGATCTCACAAAGTTTTCCAAGATCTCCACCACACACTTTTTCTACTTTCAGTGATTTTATTCTTCTCTTCTTCCCCCAACTGAACTCTTTGGATCAGAGAGTCCACATTTAAGAAGCACAACTTTCAAGACTCCTGGAGTTTGGATCATTGTGCACAGTTGTGTAGCTAACAAGCATGTAGGATATTTAAAAAGTTTCTGTGTGTTTGTGTAAGTCTGCTTTGATATTGTTAGGTGTACCATTTTGAGTTTTTGATCGTTAAAATAACAGCATGACAGCATTTTCATGGAGCAAGGTCATTTTGTCCAGAAGCTTGAACTCAAAATATACAATACTGATGAAATGAATTAAGTTACTTATAGACCTGATTAGATGATGCACAGAGAAGGTGGACATCACAGTGAGATGGGGTTTAAATTTTATACCTGGATCTTGAGCTGGTCCGCAATTATTACTGTTTATTTTTAAACTCTTCTTTAGTTTTTGTTTTAAATTCGATTTTATTTCCTTTCAGTCTTTTATTAGTTTTGTTACCTTTGTTACAGTGTGGGCATTTGTCAAGATTTAAGACATTTATGTATGACATATGACAGTGCCTTCACGTACAAGTTTAACTTTAAGGACCTGTAAGTAAGGCCTGGTGATTTGGTTTTGCTTGTAATCACTGTTGACTCTACTTCCCCCCAGTGCAGGTTTAATATCTTAAAAGCAGACAAATAATTACTCTCAAACACAGCACAGTTATTCACAGCAAGTCAAAATCGAATCTTTAAAAGCAGCGTGTTCCACTTCACCCAGAAAATACAGAGCCTCAGAGCATCCCAACGCGGCACGACCCAGCAGGAGAACAAAGAGAGCCGAGGCAGCGGGAGATCACACTTCTCATTAAAACAGCATCATACAGTTTTGTTTGTTCATCGTTTCATTTTGTCTGCATGATGATGTGTTGTATTTATTTTGCTTTATTATCATCAGAGTCATTCAGTTGCATTTACAGCATTGCATTTGACATATTAAAGAATGATACAGCGCTCGTTAACACTAATTGCAACATGAAGCAAGAATCAGTAACTGAACAAATATGTAAAAAATAACTAGAGAACATTAAAGCTCAAAATCAACAGTAAGCGAAGAGCTGACAAGCATTTTCACTTTAATAGAAATCTTATTAAACATCACATTATTATTAGTATTAATATTATTATCATTACAGTGTCTAGTAAAACGTATTTACAATCTGTACAACTCCACTGAGGCACGTCCCGGAGATCATTTTAACACAACGTGGTAACCATCAGTGTTTTCATCTGTTAACACACAAAGATTCAGTTAAATAAAAAACATCCTGATGTAAGCTTGAAGCTTAATTTCAATAAATTGTTTCACAGACTGCTCTTCAAAAGAACTGGTGTGCTCTGTGACTAAATAAAAACAATGCAAAAGCACTGAAAATAAAACGGCTGCAAACGCTGAAACTAAAGAATTTGATTTATTCATTTTGAATTTGATGGCAGCAACTAGAAGCTTTAAGAAGCTGTTTCCCACTAAACTGCTTCATCTGTTCTTTGGAAGTAAGGAAACATGCTTGCTGCAGGAAACCAGCTGCTCAGCGGCCGCAGCGGCCTTTGGTTTCTGGACTTTGTCAGGCCAGTTTAGCGCCTGGACTCTTACTATGAAGCCATGCTTCAGGAATACAGCCACAGCCATGGTTTGGGATCATCTCACTGAAATAAACAAGACTTTCCCAGTAAAACAACATCTAGATGGCAGCAGATGACTCCAAAACATATAGATGCCATCCTGCAGGGATGTTCCTGTTCACTGTGTCTGAAGGCCTGAGCTCCACCAACATTCACTGTTTCAGCTTTTTCCTTGATATTATTTAGCAGATGAAGAAATCCTATGTTTGCGTGTTATATTGAGAAAGGTTCTGTTCATGCTGTTTACTCACAGATTACTGAACTCATTTTCAGCTCTGGGATTACAACTTTAATAATTACAACTTTTCAGCCTTTAGCTGCCCCTGAACCAACTTCTTTTTTTTCCTCTCCAAAATGATAAACAAAGACACGGAGCAACACAGGCAGCCATCCAGACGAAGTCCTCTACAGGGAAGGTCTTGTGTATTACACCGTGATTATGCCAAGACTTACACTGCATGAATTCCACAAAATGGTTCAGGGGATAAAGTGGTTTTCAGTCTTGTGTACGGAGATCTTTCCAGCTTCTCTCTGAATCTTTTGATGATGTTATGTAGAGCAAAAAAATCCCCAAACTGTTGGTAGCATTTCTACACTGTGGAATATTTTTCTTACATTGTTCAATGCAATGCGTTGTTTTTTGGTTTTTCTTTTTGACCCTGCTCTGATTTATTTAAAATGTTTTTGTTGCATTAAATGTATAGTGACCACTGATTGTTTTGGTTGCGTTCTTCGTTTCAGCGTTTGATTTGCTGCATTTGTTGCAGAATGACATTAATTAAGTGCTTAAACTGTTTGGAAATGAGTGCTTTTCTTTCCCTTTTCCACAGCTTCTTAACGTTCCGTGAAACAGGGCTGTACGGATAAAGGTCAGTTACCTCGTATGGTGCTGATGATGAAACTGGTTTCTTCCCTGAGGTTCTGCACCATCTGAAACAAAGAGCACCACACACTTTGGTCTTGAAACAGCTGAAACATGTATAAAGTGCACTTCATGGACTTGGAAGGAATCTGGAGCTCATGGTGGAACTTTTATTGATGATCACTAACGGAAAACTGAGACTTCCTGTTCTGTCTTTCATGGTTTTGGAAGGCAGATATATTTTTATGGGGCTAATAAAAAAAATTAAATTGTCATTAGAAAATAGCATCCTGTTTTAAAACTGGATTAGAGCAAAGCAGGCGCTCTCTCTTCCTCTTCTCAATTATTTTTTACCTGCATCTAATCAAACTCAACTCAAAGATGACTGTGTTAGTGTTAGTAGAAGTTAATAGAAGTTAACTACAGATGGAAGTCAGGAAGCTTCCGATACCTGAACGTTACCCCTTGCTTTTTATTTGTTTTTGTTTCTAATGTCTCTGTAAAGCACTTTGAATCACCTTGTTGTTGAATTGTGCTATACAAATAAACTTGCCTTGCCTTGCCTACAGAATCTACATACTCATTTGCAGATATGCACTCATATTAATCAGTGCTGGACAGATACCTCATCTGAGACCAAGATGTGGATCCCGGTGGTTTTCTGTCTGTAGATTTGTGTGATCTGTTGTGGAGTGATGTTGTACAGTGTAGCGATCTTTTCAGACAGGTCCAGCAGTGTCAGCTCTTCCAGGTACAGAGCGTGGTAGACTGCAGAGGCAAGACAGACATACAATGATCACATCAGGTCAGAAGTGTTACTCTCTGCCAGTTTCTGTGATGATTTCCTGATATTTTAGGATTTTGTCTCTGCCCGGTTTCATCTGCAAACATTTATTTTTGGAGTAGTAGAACAGAGTGCATGATTCAATGTTCAAAATAACCCTTTTTTATCTTATACAGAGCCTTGGTGCAGATCCTCAGTTGATGGACTGTCTGAAACAAGCATCTTTAGCTCCTCCTCTGTTCCTTCCTTTTATTTTCTCCTGATTGGCTGTGCCTTACAAACACAATATTTAAGAAAGAGTATGGCACATCCATGTGTATTATTAATTGGACTCAGTCTTTTTCATGAGTTTTATTTTGTTTGTATTTTAAGGACTGACTCTAACATCTGCTTCAGGTCTTCTTCAGGTCCTCTGACTTGTTTGGTCCAGCTGCGGCTGCCATCTGTCTTAGTTTTGAATATTTAATTTAGGGCTTAATAAACCTGCAGTTGTGTTTGGTGTGTAGGAATTGCTTGTTTAAAACCATTCAGTCACACTACAGACAGAGGACTGAAAAAAAAAGGACAAAATATGAGCATTCAGAGCGATTTCTTGTTGCACACGTACTTTCTCCACAGCCTGGTTTGATGGAAGGTTGATTTCTGGCCTGCTGCTGACACACATAGATGGTAAGACGGGGCTGTACACACCTGAAAATGTGAGCAAAAAGCTTGAATTGAATGTATTTCAAGGACCTGCAGCACTAAAGCTTAAGACGCAGTCTGCTCAAGAGGCCGATATCATAAATTTACTGTAAATGGAGAAACAATGGATCATATCAGTGTCCAAATCCATCTTTGTATGTAATGTATGGTTGAGAGAAGAGACTAGACTTTAGGAAAATCCCAAAGGACCAGAATTGTGTGGACTTCCATACGACCTGACTTGTGTTAAAAGTCAAAGGAGTCGCCCCCTTCTGGTTATTAGAATGAATGCAGGTTTGAGGAACTTCAGCTGGCCTCACATCCGGAAACAGAAGCCATGCCTATTTTGTATATTCCATGATCCTGTGTCTGTAGATGCACCAACCAGTAAATCATGCAAATGGCTCTGGGTGTGGCTGGGCAGTGTAATTTAATGGCTCACCTTCCCTTCATCGTGTTAAAGAGGCGGATGCCGTCTGCTGGACCACAGATCTGGATCAGATCCTCCTTGGTCATCCTCAGGAGATCAGCACCTGCAACAACAGCAGAAATCTGGTTCTGCTTGCTGCCCTGATCTACAGCAGATCTGATCTGACGCTGTGATAGACGAACACATCGACACTAATCAGTTCTTCCTCAGTTTGTCTTTCCTGCACTGCATGCCTGCGCTTTCTGACAAAAGTTCCAAGACTAAAGTGTGTGGTGTGTTTTTCACACGCGGTACCTGCGAAGCTGGTGAAGAGCCTTGAGAAAGGCGAGAACCTGTGACGGTGCAGCCACTGCTGAGTGTCCTGCGGCGAGGACGACGGCAGAAGGTGCTACATGTCAAAAAGAAGAAGAGCCCTTGAAATGAGTATAGCTGCACAGCATCCACTGTCTCCAAATAATGGCCTAAAAGGAATAAGAGAGCAACATTAACACTTTCACACTGCACCGGTCTCTGTTACTTACATCAGAGCAGCCGGGCATGAACAGCTCCCCCTGCTGGTTTGGAGAACAGTTGCTAGAGAAACGCACACATGAGGAGGAAAGAACACATTGGGATGATTGGTTGAGTATTTTCTTCTAACTGCCCTGAGACACATCTGTCTGGTCTTTATATGCTGTTAAAAATTCTCTGTTTTGCATCTGCTAATAGCTGCAGAAGTTCGTGCTTGTGAAAGTACTCTCATAGAGTGTAAAGCACAATCACATCAGAGAAACATTTTCAAATTTTCAACCCGTAATTGAAACAAAACACAGTTCCCCTGCAGACCTTGACTGAAGAGATGCGTTTTATGTCGGTGGAAACCACCAAACAAGTATTAAAGTGTGGTGTGAATGCTTACTCACCCCTCAGTGAAAGTGCAGGAGGTTGGTGAGCTGTGGTAAATTGGTGATGACGTGCTGCTGGTGCTGTGGCTGGTTAGATTTAAGGCATCGGGCCACGGCGAGCACTGCACACAGAGAAGACGAGAGAAAGAGAAGAAGATGTGCAATGAAGTGGAAAGCTTTTCACAAAGATTAAAGGGTTCAAAATCCCATTCAAAGTGCAGCGAGTGATCACAGATGTGTGTAAACCTATGGTCTACATAGTAACAACTTTAGGTAGTTCATCTCCTTTAGCTCGCTAGTTTGGTTTCATTCCATTAATGTGAGATTTAGAGGCGGTAGAGGAGGCAGTGCCATTCACCAAAATTTCAGTTATTTTAGATGACAGATGTAAAGACTCTACAATAACAGAGAGCTCTAACCTCACATGGCCTCAGCTGAACATCATGCAGACTTTGTACCAGACACGCACCAGGATAAAGTCTGTTAATGTCTCATCGGGCTGACATTTGTGTCGTAATATACAGCTTCACAGGTTGTCTAGTACAGAGCTCTGAAGAAAACTTTATTCTGAAAAAATCCAGGTAACTTTAATCGATTTCACCAAACTCCAGAGCTGAAAGACAAAGCTACAGCAAACCTGCAGTTCCTCTAATGTCCACCAGAGGGTCCAGCAGTGAGTCAGTCCCAATGGTCTCCCATATTAAAGGAATTTTAACCTGACACAAAAACTGTTTTGGTCTCTATAGTTAATTTATCCCCTCATAACATCTGTAATAGGCTTTTAATTTGATATATACTTAAAGCTTGTATTATTATGGGCGTGGCCTCTTTGACTGACAGGAGGATGGTGGCTGTAGCTGCTAGCTGTCTGCTAGGCTTCACCGCAGATAGAGGCGCTGCTGGAGCCTTTGGAAGCATTTTTAATGCGATTATTTGACCAATAATGTGGCTGCTGTGCGGTTAACTGTACTAACAGACCGTCCAAGAAGTCTGAACTCCTGATTAGGTGAAATTTTAGGATTTTATTTAACCAATTTAGCACTAGTTAGCCAGTATCTATGTCACACTTAGCAAACACTTTTCATATTCTTCCTATAAAGACTTACTGTGTTATAAATGGTTTGTAATGGTAAGTATTGCTACAGTGTCATGTGTGATATTTGTAATGAACATGACCAGTACAATGGTTCCTCAGGTTTTCTTTTCCTCCAGGTGAATAACAAACTAGCACTGACAAAGCCTCAGTCACTGACAGCAGCAAAGAAAGAAAACTTTTAAAACAAACAATGCAACAAGCAAAGTGACATATTAACAAACTGTAACGTAATAGTGGTTTACATGGTTTGGTGAGCAAAGAAGCAAAACGAAAAGGAGGGGGGAAATATTCAGATCTGATCAAATTCCAGAAACATCCAAGTAACCCAAGAATTTACAGCTGGGTTCAATAAAGTCAAAGCAGAAGGCAAACAAAGGGTTCTCTCAGGCCTCACCTCTTTCAGCAGGGTAGCGTCATGGGATGGCTGATACTTTTCTCTATCTTGAGGGGTCTTTTTATCAATCTTTTCCCGATCTGTCTTCAGTTTGCGATCAGCTCCTTTAGGCTTAAAAAAAAAAAAAAAAACAGGACGTGTGGTGTAAATCATGAGATTTGAGGATGTTAAAGATCAGAGATGAGCATGAGGTAAGAGTAAATAAAGTATTGTACCTTAAAGACTTTGACCTGGCAGCTGGATGAGTGGAAATGCTCGACGTATTCTCCGTGTTCATTGGTGGTGTAAGTGTCCACCTGGATTCGGAAGGGCACCCCTTTCTCCCCGCCGTGCTTCCGGGGGGTGAACTCTGTGCTGATGCAGTTGACCTGAAAGGACAAGAGAATAGAGAAGAGCTGAAAAATAAATTCAGCTAAAGACCACAACCTCCCCTCTCCGAGGAACTGAGACTGGAATTGAATGTGTACCTGGATGAAAACAGAAGCATTCTTCAGGGGATCCCAGAGGAATTCGATGGTGTTGAGGTGCAAAGGGTCTGAACAAGGCTCCAGGATCCCCACTGACAGAGGGATATCTGCAAGTAATGAGCCAGCCACTTATTTCAGCTTTGATTTTAAAGCCCACGTGAAGACATTTGTGTTTTGGTTAACCTGTTAACATCTGAAGCTGAGGAGAGGTTTAATTTTAAAAGTTTAACCTTCTGAAGTCTAAGAACCTAAGATTCAATTCAGTTCATGTAGTGTTTAGTCACAGCAGCAGTCACCTCAAGGTGCTTTTTACCATAAGGTACAGACCGCACAATAATACAGAGAAAATCCCAACAATCATAAGACCCCCTATGAGAAAGCGCTAGGTGACAGTGGGAAGGGAAAACTCCCTTTTAACAGGAAGAAACCTCCTGGTAGACATCTGCCACGACCTTTTGGGAGGCGCGTCAAACGGCTATTGGTCATTGATTACTGTCAATGCATTGGTCCAGCACAGCTCCATAATCATTCATACTTAAGTATGACACTACAGTTCACCACACGCCATTAATAATGGCATCACTTCTGCTGCACACTGTTGTACACAAGGAAAACCACAGCACTATCTTCATCTTTGGTGTTTAGCATATTTAATTTTGTTGTGAGCAAATATTTGTGAGTTTCCAAAATCACTTCTCTCACTGTACTTGGGTATTCATGCCATTACTGGACTTTCTGTGCAGTCAGACACACAACTAGTGACATTGACCAAGAACCACCACAAATTTGTGAGTATGAATGATCCATGAGTATGTTGGTATGGTGAGCTCACCTATGTCCAGGATTCGGTCTCCAGGTCTGTTCCACTTCCATCCCTCCAGCTGCTGGTGCTCCATGTACTGCAGTCGACGGTCATGGAAAACCACGCGCACAATGCTCTGTGAACAAGCAGGATCAGGCTTCAGACAGGAGTACGGCTGTGAGCTGAGCACAGGGCAGCTCGCACCAAGCTAAACAGCAGGAATGTTGGGCAAAGTGCGAAAAGGCTCCCCTGTTTTATTTATACACGCACTGAAACAGGGCGTGGAGGGAGTACTTGCAGCTCCTTTCTTACCAATTCTTAAGCAGTCAGAGTTAAAACTGTTGTCACAAAAGCCCAATGACCTGCTGTCAGTCAGGCTACATGTAATACCTGAGACATGCAGTAATGCTGGTGACTTTCCTTCTATGTGACAGAGCTCCCACAGTCTCTGCAAAACAAGATCCTCTCAGTGGACCGGTTTATGCTTCATCTCTGAGCATCCATCAGGTCAGGTCCTCTGGGGCTAGGGTCTGGTTTTGTTTTAGCGACATGCTAAATTGAATTTCAGAAGCTACAAGATGGTGGCCAAATTTAATTTGGCCATTTCAAACCTCTGAAAATCCACAAAAATGCGATGGACATTAACTAAACTGAAACCCTTGCAACTGAAAGGCAATAACCCTGTGTGTTGGTGTTAACACATCAATACGTACATTCAACTCTATGTACCTTAATCTTAAAGGCATTAGACATTTATAGTTTAATTAACCCTAACCACAACATTTACATGCCAAATGTATGATACAAATTAGTGAAGTCAAGACTGACCTCTTCACTGACCTTTGATAGCATGGATGTGATTTAGTCAACAGGAAAAAAGGAGCAACTTTAACGCCTTCTGTCATTCAACCCCACCTTTGAAGACTTACTTACAGAACCTTTTTCATCCAAATCCTAAAACCTTATGACATGTGGGAGCTCTGATCTCTTTTCAGTCACCTCCAACTGTTGCGTAAAACAGCTTTAGCTACCAGCTAATAGAACCGCATCATGCTTACGCTCATCTGTAAGAAACTGAGCTCGATCAGGTTGGAATTTTAGCAACAGCCACCTTTTAAAATCTGCGTGGACAAGACACAAATCCACAGATGAAATGAGCAGCCTGTAGAGACATGTATCATTGGGCTATTTATGGGGGAGGCTCGTGCATGACTGAGCAGCCGAGCTCAAACAGCTCTGGATGCTCCACGTCATGTGTTTGCACAGACGCCACCTGTCCCATTCCTGCGTCTCTAGGATGCTACGGCGAACATTACGATGTGTCCTGACGACAGAGACGCGTAAGAGGATGCACTCACACCAAAATGAAGTAACTCTTAGGTGAGTGTGTGACTAACTTCTTGTTAAATGAGGAAGTAGAAACTTTGACTGCCATCTGAAACTTGGAGAACCCGAGAGCTGCTAGTTTTGTTTTTTTTGTTTTTTTATTTGTTTTTCACAAGGCCGAGAGATTTTTCTCATTTGAACTTCAGGAAACAACATTTCAGAAAAATTACAAGCACAACGATCATGTGACTTAGATCCAGGTAAAGCAGACAGAAGCAGAAAAGCTTGGTGAGACATACCAAAGAGAGAAAGAGAGTGTGTGTGTGTGTGTGTGCTGGAAATGTGAGAGGAAGCTGAGCTGCACGTCTGTAGAGGGCTTATGTGAAGTTTAAAGAGGAGGAGCGGTGAGTTTGGGTGATAGTACCAAGCTCTTCAGGGTCGATACAGCACCCCCAAAGTGGAAGGGAAGGTCAAGGGACCGGCGACGAACCAAGGAAGTGAACAGACGAGAGGAGAAAGAGGGAGAGGTCACATGAAAGACAAATAAAACAGACAAACATACACAATACCTTACACCTACCTTCACATATTTGCTGCTTATATCTGTATACTCCACTAGTTTTCTGTTAAGCATACGGATTTCGTAGGACTGACCTACATTTTAAAACATTAAAGACATCCTGATTAAAAATTTTTAAAAAGGAAATCAATCAATCAGAAAAGAGGCGTAGATATCAAGGCCACACACTGGAAAACGTTTCCGTTTAGTCGTCCTGATCAGACATAATACATTATCACAACAACATGTCAATAACACAGCCAATGAGGGACGCTAAAACTAACTGTCAGTGCTTCTAAAACGAAGCTACAAACCCTGATGGCAATTAACTTTACTAATCAATACATGCCCTCTTTGCATGGCCACAAGCTGCGTGGAACAGCAAGCTCACTTTCATTGTGTTTTTACTGCAAACAAATTACTGTAGAGCAGATAAGCAGGGCAAACTCGTAGAAACACAGAGGAAGATAAAGCACAGATAATAAAAACGTCACTGACAAACACGACAGACGGAAACAATCAGAAGGTTCCAGAAGGCAGAAAACGAAGAAGAGGAGGAAGAGGAGGGGAGAGTGTGAAATGCAAAGAGCAAAAGACATGAGTGAGAGAGGGGTTGATGAGTGAGGTTAGATGATCCAAGTCAGACAAATTAACACTCACGTGGAAGCTCATCTTGCACAAATCAATCAATAAATCTGAATACTTCATTCTTTAAATAAATGAATTCTTCAAATATTAAACATGTCAAATCTTAATCATCAATGACAGAGACTGAGTGTGTGAGTGCAACTATGTAAACAGGATGTTCTGAGATCCAGGTCTAAAGACAGAAGCTATGGAAGCTAAAAAAGTCCAAAATTCATTTGCAGTCTACATTACTATGAACGAAAAAATGTGACCAATTCCCAGTAACTAATATTTAAATTTAAGAAATATTATCATAAGTTTGTCAAATGAGCCAAACTGGAACCAATCATGTTTGAGATGTGAGTCACTGGAAACCTCAATGACCATATTTTGAGAAACCCTCAAAGAGGGAAGTCCAATCCAGAAATAATTAAAGCGTATTACAAACAGAAGAACTAGCAAAGTGAAGATATTTAAACAATTATGACTTTTGGTTTTGCTTCCATAGAACTGGACAAACATCAGAAAACTTCAACCTGATTTCTGTTGCAGAACAAACCTAATTTTTCTCTTAGTGTATTTAAATGAATGGATTGAACTCTGAGCATCTCCCATGCTTCAGCTGGGACTGCGTGTGACAAAATGAGCTTCGGTCTGTACAGTCGTCACGGAGACTAACAGTGTAAGTACCTTGGTTGAGATAAGTGAGCGCTTCCTCCTGCTGCTTCACAGCCGGTGAAGTGGCTGCACACAGAATGTACTGGAACGGGGTTCTTTTGGCACCATTTTCAGCCATGAGCCGAGCTTCTTCGTTCTTTAAGAAAGGCGCCAACGCCTCTCTGGAGGAGATCACGAGGAGATGGCCAGCTGTCACATCTGATCTTCAGTCATTTAAGCCCAAAGGTTTGTTGTCATGCAGCACGGTTCAGGTTAAATACATCATTAAAGAAAGAAAAAGGTGGACTAAATTGGGTATTTTCTTTTTTTGTCTATGTTTCTTTGTTTAAAAAAAACAACTTAAGCACAAGATAAAATAACTTTTAATTTCAGATCTGGTGTCAGTTGATCAGATTTTTAAGTGCATGACTGTGTCGTGTGTTTTTGTTGCTGTACCGTTAGTGTTCCCTTCTGAATTTCTTAAATTGTACACTTTGAAAAACACCACACACATGATATCCAAAACTAAAAATCAAACTGAAACTTTTACAAACTGACATGATAAAGTGGAACTAACCTGAAATGTGGATTTTGAGTGCAATTCTTTGAATGAACGAACGCCTGAAATGCATTTTTAAAACTCATTTCATGTCAATAACACATTACTTAAATGTGCTCCTCAATCACTGTAAATCAGCACATTTACCAAAGCCACGCGAGCACCTGTGGAGCTGGTAAATTGCTGCACCTGTGTGTGAAATCCTGACATTTCTGGAGCTTGGCAACATGGCAGTGCTTTACCTAATGTAACTAGCAGAGTGCTGGTGGTAGGACTCAGGCTGGGGATGGCAGAACAGCATATTTTCCAGTGTGGCGGCGTTGTCTTGTATTCCAGGACCACAGAGAAGGCGTGGAGGCAGAGGGCGCGAGCGTTGTGCCTGCTGGCTTCCTCGGATTTCAGCTCAGAGAGGTTTGCAGCCCAGCCTCGCCACACACCCCTTATATGGCTCCAGTGATGTCATCAGGCCTGCTATTAGCATACCTTGGATGACCTTTGAGAGGCGGAGAGCGCCGGCTCACCTCCCACTACCAATGTCCACCTCGGGTGATGCATTAATAGCAGCTTCAGTTGATCAGTTGTTGACACTGCCAACAAAACACTCACTGTGGGTGAGGATGTTTAGAGGGGACTTTCAGGAAACAAACACAGGAAAAGCCCTCAAATGAATGTCAGTAAGCATATTTATCATCTCTGATATTTCTAAAAGCCAACACAGCAGCTTAAATGACAATTAAATGATGATATTTAAATTTGAAAAAGGCACATTAATCTTTATTGCAGGTTTAGTTTCAGCAGGTTGAGTAGAAACCCCTGCAGCTCACCCCTCATAGCTCCTCAAGGGAGTGACAGATTAAGAGCAGGTCATCTCAAAGTCTGCCCGGGTTAATGTTTATCCAGAGCCGCTAAGCACACCTCAGCGCTCGGATGCAGGTCCAACCTGCGAGGGAAACAAAGACGACGCCGTCCGAGCTTTGATCCAATCTCTGAGCGTTACACACGGTGAAGTAAGAGGGGGGAATTGTGAAATGTGGAGTGAAAGGCCAGAAAGTGCTGAGATCAGTTCTCGGTCTTTTTATTTCTACAGCAAACAGTTTTTTACATCGCTGCAAACTGATCACACATTGATGTTAACATAAAAAAACTAAACAAAAAACCTTCTGTACAGTTCATCATGACAGAACTAAATACAATAAGATCAAATAAAATATATAAATACAGGTGTGAATATTACATGAGCGCGTGAAGCCAAAGAAAGACTGCTGAACATGCATAGTGAACAGTCTGTAAGGAACGCCGTCGCGTCTGTTTTAGATCCAGCGACGAGACGACAGATGCGAGAAGATTGGTGGGTTTTCACCAGTTTGCAGGTTTGCTTTTCTGGTAAAAACTCAGCGGATTAAATGAGCGTGCTGAAGGACGATGAGAAAGAAAAAGTTAAATCCTTTTGAGTACCAGCAAATTCACTGTGTTGTTTCTGTACATTCATTTCCTTAAAGAAGCAGAGTTGGACCATTCTCAGCGGATTTCAACAAATCAGGAATCAGCATTATTATTCATTATTCAGAGTATTATAAAGAAAAAACTACAGCAGATCAACTGACCATGAAAACCAAATCAGGTCCAATAATTAAAAGCTGATCAGACTGAGAAACTTCTTCCCAATCAGGGAATCGATGAAGTGCTTCACAGCAGGAATCCACCACTTAAAACTTTACAGCAGAATAAATTAAACACAGAGTGTGTACCTTTTCCGTACGAGCGCCTCCTCAGAGTCGAGTGATCTCATGATGTTAAAAGTGCACTTTAACAGCCGAAGAAGCTCCGGGCTCTCCACGCAGCACTGAGTTGACGCGTGCCGCAGGTTCATGCAAGCCAAAAAAATTAAAAGTCTGCTTTTCCGTGAAGCAGCGGTCAGAAAGTGTATGTACAAAACACCTTTGATTTCTTTGTGGTTATTGCAGAAGCCGTGAAAGAGGAAACGAGTAATACTGTGTTTGCACGGTCACATGTCTGAGAGCGACGCCGCCTGCTGGGGAGGCTTCTGCTGCAGATTCACATTTTTTTGTTTGTTTTTCTTTCTTTCTTTTTTTTAAAGAGCCGAGAGTGACGGCGCCGTACATCCCGTTCACTCTCTGCAGTCCACAAATGTAAGGCCTGTTCTCCCCCAACTCCTCATCTGCTGTATTTACAAAGGACTTCCTGTAAGACAGAGTAAGCGCTCAGACACAAATGGAAGCAGGAAGTTAAAAACGACACAAACGTCACGGCTTTTAACAGGCTTAGCTTCCACTCCATGTAGCGACGGTGGTTTGTGTTCTCTGTTAAAAAGATCTGCACGAAATGTGAAGGATTGTCAGTTCTGTTTAGACATGAGATCTGTTTCGTAATCGTGACAGTTTGGGTTTTAAGCCACTCCTAAAGAGAAACGAGCGCATAAAAAAAAAAACAAATTACAATCAAATATGAGCCTTGAACTAAAATGCTCACATAGGACTTCCTCGTTTTGTCTTTCTGTCCATATCTAATTTTTTTTCCGCCTTGCAATATTTGGTCTTCATGCCCTTAAAACAGAATTCACTGCACACTTTATGGGCTTGTTGCCATCACTGGGCCAGCCAAATGACATTTCATCCCAAACTGAAGATGATCTGAAACATTTCTTTGATGTGAATATTTTCCACTTATAGAAACAAATCTAAAAGCAGAAGGGATGAAGGAGAAACAGAATGGAGCTGATGTGGAGATGGTGGGACCCACAGGAGGAGGAGAAAGCGCCATATCCTAAATCCAAAAATCCAAATGTGTCCAATCCTTCCCCACCAACTTGAAACCAGGACAGCAGTCCCGTTCAGATATTTCCAGAGCGGAGGCAGATGACACGAAGGAACAAAATGGGTCGAGAGGATGAGCTGCAGAGCCGTGATGAGGAGGGTGATGCTCAGAGACAGAGAAGTCTGATCTGGAGTCTTGGAATGGATGAAACCACCTCCATTAACTGTGAGAGGAGACATCTGAGGAACTGCTGCTATTGCTGTTTGTCGTTTGAGCACGCTTGATGTACAGGTTCAGTAACTTCATCTGCAAAAGGAAAGAATCGAGAAATTACTCTTTATATCAGCACAGGACTGTCTTAAAGAGGAATAAACTTCTTCATGAGTCAGATAGGGCGATAGGAAGCAAAAAGTACACAATATTTGGCTGGTTCCTTTAAAATGATGAAAGCACTCATGACATCTCGTCATGCAATTAAACCGAGCAGAGGTAGAGTGAGGCTGAAACATGAAAAGCACAAAACACCTGCACGCTCCAGCAGAAATAAACAAGTTTACAGCCTGCCTCAAGAATGTCTTTATGTAGTTTACCACTTCAAAACAACTCTACAGGTGGTCAATGCAATTATAACTCACTCCATTGTATGGTAGCGAGACTTAAAATTAGGGCTGTGGCCCCCCTGACTGACAGGTGGATAGCGACACAGGTGGCTGGAGCTGCTAGCTGCAGCTAGTTGAAGTCCCTAAACTGGACTGAACTGGCCTGGACTGTTTGTGCTGGTGACCGGCTTCCTGGGGATACCCTTCGGGGGGAAACAAACAAAAACAAAAATCCCCCCAAAAGTTATTCTAATGGCTGTCAGTCCACATCTTTACTGATATATGTAACAATCAGTTAACTATAGAGGGAAATACAAAAATATGCTGTAGTAGGAGAACCACAAACTGTTTCTCAGGAGAATCTCATCACAGGGACAATTTGCTTTAAACAGGATGAAGAACTCAAAAGTGATCATACACAAAATATTGACACAGGCACTTTTTTAAAATATTCCCTAAAATGTAGCTGCTGATAAGAGGAAGGATTGTTATTAATGATTAACTGCATCCACTCAAAGTGATTTTAGCACTAAGATGATATCTTAGAGTGCAGCTGAAGACTGCAGCGGTGACTCCGTTTAGATAACCAGCTGAACAGGTGGTGGTTAGTAAAGGGGAGTGGTGGAGGTGGGGGGGTTGCAGTCAGGTGAACCTGACCCTCAGACCTTAACCATTACATAACTCAAGGACACTTTAGAAGGGCAAATATGACCCTGTGCTTTATAATTTGAGAGCCAGCTGAGAAATAACAACATGGGAAGATGATAAGGCTCAGCGTCTGTTCAAGTGCTTTCGTTGTGAGGACATGCAAGTGGAAAGACTTGCTGGCGACGGTCAGTACCTTGCTTCCCGTAAGCTGTGCCAGGTGGGGTTTGAGCTCCTCACCAATCACAGAGTAGATAGCCACCAGACAGAACACACTGGCCTTGCGAACGCTGCTCTCTGTGTTGTCATAGCCCTGCGGAGAGACCGGGGAGCATCAGGTATCAAAGGCGCGTACATGCACACATACACGCACACGCACACACACCCACACGAGGTCAGCAAGAACGTGGGAGGGGTCGCCAAGAGTGCAGAGTACACGCAAACATTTCCAGGGACAAATAAGGCAAATAATTCCCACTGTCCAAATATGAACATTGTCCAAATAAGCCTCTGTGGCACTGACACGGATGTTTCTGCTTTGTCTGTGTTATTCAAGCTGAGTACACCAGCAACACATTTAAAACTAAAAACTCGGTTTATTCAAGTTTCTGAAATGTGAGTTTTTATTTCACAGTTTTGGAGGTTTGATCAGTTTTCAGCCTGCAAAACTAAAACAATCACATTCCATTCAAATCTGCACTTCTGTTTTGGGCTCAGACCTGCAGGAGTCCGGGGATGATGTCGGGCAGCAGCTGCAGCAGTGATTCCTTGGCGATGCGTTCAATTACTTTGGTTTGCATCTTGATGGCTGCCAGGTTGATGGGGTAGTCGGCCGTCTGCACTATGGGGCACAGCACCTTGATGCACTGCTCCGGGTGAATGGAGCCGGCCAGCGTCGCCGCCGCCTCCTCGGCTGCACGCACAACCTAAAAACATGTTTTTTATTTTTAACAGATTAGGCTGCTAACAATTTTATATCACACATCGTAAATCCAATCAGCTGGTGTGTTATTGAGGCAACAGCAGGATTTCTGTATCACAGGCATGAGACTAAGTCAGACAAAGCCAAAGTCTCTTTCCCCCCCAAATTCAGACAATTTCACTGTCCAGTTTAGCATTTTGTGCTCAAGTAGAGAACTTCAATCCCATAAATGTTTCCAACAACCAACAGGAGCTCCGTTCTGTCAGTCAGTGTTTCCCTTTTTTTCTTTTGACTTACTTTTCTAGAACAAACAGAGAAACGAGGCAGCTGCTCCTCCACCACTCAACACTTTATCTTCTTGTAAATTTCCACCAGGAGCATGATGGGAAAAACACGTTTACAGGCTGATTTCGATCTGAGAACTTCCCCAGAAAACGCTTACATTTTAAACTTATTCTAATGTATTCTTGCTGTTGCACTTTCAGTCCTGATTTTATACTTGAACCTATCATGGCTCTTGCTTTAAACACAATATATCCTCACCTTTATGCCTGTATTTTAGGCTTTTATAAAGCTTTTTTTAAATGACTCGTCTATGATTAAAAACATCTTTTTATGGTCTTCTGGTGTGTGGTAAGTACAGTGCGGGACTGTACTGAATTTTGCATGTTTCACAGATTTTGTGAAAATTTGTTGGCTGCAAAATGACACACGTTTAGATTAACGCAATTACTGAAAAACTGAATACAGAAAAAGCAAAAAAAAAAGTTTAAAGATAAAGAATAAAAACCTCTGGGATTTATGAACCCCTTTAAAAAGTACTTTACTTCAGCATACTTTACACTTCTTCAGCAGGATATTATTCATTCATTCTGAAAAACTTTTTTTTAAATAAATTCCTCGTGCTAAATTTCTGTGATCCATATGTTTTTTTTTTTTGGTTATCTGCATGTTTCATCTCAGGTTGGTCGAGTGCATTTTTGTGTATTTTATGTTCAATTTGCTATCAACACGTGATCTGTGTTTACACACACTCTGTACCCCTGCTGCACACCTGACCAACATGAATGGGAAATTTCTCTACAAGTAATCCTGAATAACTGCTGGAGTGAAGGGTCGAAGGTTGGACTTACTGTCTTCACTTTTTTCAGTGCTCATATTGATAACCACTCTGTAAAGTATTAATTATGAGGTTATTGTGAGCTACAACAGGGATTAGAAATTATTAGAAACCAATAATCATTAATCTCATTGACTGCAGGCTTTTTGTTTATGTATCATGATTGGCATTCGTCTTTCTCACATGTGCTCCTTTGCATATATAAACTAACTTCATGTTTAAGTGAACACGCTACTCAGTCATTAAAGACATGAGAACCGCATCACTTTCAACACGGCACGGCCACATTAACAGATATCGATGACGACTTTATGAAACAAAAATCATGCTCGGTGCCTTTAGCTGAGTGGTGGGAGCTGCGTACCTCCTTGTGAGAGTCTTTGTGCGCCTCCAGTGTCTTCATGATGGTCAGCTCGGCATAGTTTTTAAAGCGGGCAGGCTGATTCCTCAGAATTTCCTTCAGCACTCGCAGAGCCAGAGCTCGAATGGTGTGCTGCAGGAAATGGGAACATAAAGAATATCATCCACACAAAACTACCTTCAGTTTCTTCAGATTACGCTGAATCAAGACAATGAAAACACAAATAAAGGAGACAAAAAAAGGGATTTACATGTACACAAACTATCAGGTTACGTACATCTTTATCACCCAGGGTCTCCAGCAGGAGGAGGAGGATGGTTTTGAAATGTTCGTCCCACACAGCCATGCTGTCTTCCCGTGTGATCTTCAGCAGCTCCACCAGGGCGCCTTTACGCTCCTCTGAGCGCTCGTTGTGATTGGACAGCTCCTTCAAAAGATCGGCCACCAGGTCTGAGTGATCCTGCCCGACTGCTTACCGAGAGGGGACAGGAAGAAAGAGTTAAGAATTTAATTGAACTGCCATGGGCTAATAATCATCCATCAACCTTTTTTTTTGTTTTTAAAAGACACTTAATGTCTCTTTTTTTTTTTTTTTTTAAATCACACATCCAGATTTTGGATCTGCAATTCCTCCTTTGGCGGTTGTTGGACTTTACTAGGGAGGTGTGATGAGGTGCAGGTATTTTTGCACATGTATTTCCCTTTCCAGGGACCACATTTTGGGAGGAGGGTACTTAAACTGAACGTAGAAACTTGATTTGTGCCTGATGTGGCTGTGACCATTGCTGCTGAGAGTCAAGATGGACACGTGATTGGTACAGGTGAATTGCGCAAAGCTATGAGCGCGGTGATGCATAAAAACCATCAGTATATTACAGGCAACAAAGAAACTCACAGAAAAGTCACTGAACTAGAGCATGAAAGTCTTTCTAAACGAGTTTCTCCTCCTGCTGCCTACCAAAGACTTTTGGCTTTTGCACTGAGGGAATGTGATAAAACCTTATTTTAAACTTTTTTTAATGAACATTATTTTTTTCATAAAATGGGCAAAACAGACTCTACTTTTCTACTTCCAGAGTGATGCTGCTGTTGTTATGGATCTCTTACATAACATATAGAAATGTCTGTCTTGAAACAGCTAATATGTTTAGTAGTCAGCACTAAATGTAATTAGTTTTTCTAAAAGTTTTTTATGTCACAGTCCTGGGTCGGTGACCCAGTGTTTTCTGTTTTGCATTGTTAATCTTTGATTTCTTGATGTCTTTGTTTGTTCCTAGGTTTTGGTTCTGTGCCAGTATTGGTCCTGAGTTTTCCATGTTTCCCTTTTAGTTCAGTGTCTAGTCTGTGTCTTGTGAATTGTGAATTGTCTCTTGTTTCCTGTTTTACTTTGAAGGTTTATGTCTGATGTCAGTGTATTCAGTTTTGCTTCCCATGTCTCGTCTTGTCAATTACTTCCAGCTGTGTTCCCCACCTGTTTGTAATCTCCCTGTGTTCTTCTGTGTGTATTAAGTCGTGTCTACTCGTGTACTAGTTGCTGGACTGTCTGTGAATCTACCGTGTTTCATCTGTGTGTTCTCCCTGCTATCAACCTCCATATGCCTCTGCTGACTCTCCTTCATGTTCGTGTTCATGTTTGCTGTTCAATAGTTTAGTTTGTCTCAGTATAGATTAGTTTTGTTCCGTTTTGCCATTTCCACCTCTGTTCTACAATAAACCACCTTTGCATCTCAGCAAGTGCCTGCACGTGGATCCTCGTTTATTTTCTCCTCACAGCTCACTCCATTCACCGTGACAGTTTAGGTTGCATGGGTAGCTGTGAGTCAGATTCTTTCCTTTGACTTTAATAAATATCTGCAGCCTCAGGTGGCATGCAAGAAACTGAGAACAACGGGCATTTTCATGCATGTGTCAGTCTTCATGAACGTCTCTGGATCACTCAGGATGTGACTAAGGCTACGTTCACACTGCAGGTCTTAATGCTCAATTCCGATTTTTTGATCAAATCCGATTTTTTTGTCTGCTTGTTCACACTACAAATAAAATGCGACAGCAAACGCGCTCTAGTGTGAATGCTCAAAGCGGCCCGCATGCGCAAAAGAAGACGTCACACACAACACGCTCTGTTTAGACCCAGAGCAAACAATATTGTTTGACTGATGGCCCTTAATATAAAGACTTCGGACTTTACGTTTCCCAATTTTTGCTTTAAGTTATTACATATTTACATAATAATGTAAATAACCTAATAATGATCCTTATTGCTGTTTTAGAAAGGAGCGGTACTTCAAAGGATAGTTGCAGATTTCTGTCAGAATCTGCAGATTATATAGTACAAATAAAATGTTCACGTTGTCTTCCCAACAGTTTCACTGACATCTACGCTGGATGGCCAGGAAGCGTTCGCGAAGTCTTCTCGGGCGCTTCTCCAGCGCTGATAATTAGCGTCTGTCTTGTGTCAGTGACGTAAAAGACGGATTTAATGCGACATGACCGTTCAAACAGCAGTCGCTTTCTAAAACATCGGATATGTATCGGATTCAGTACCACATACGAAAGTGACCCAGATCGGATTTGAAAATATCGGATTTGTACCGTTCACACTGTCATAGCATGATCGGATATGGGTCGCATAGGGTCAAAAATAATCGGATTTTATGCGCTTTTGCCTGCAGTGTGAACGTAGCTTTATTAACATTATTAACAGTAAGTCCTGTAAGGTGGACTTTTGAAAACAGCTCATCAATCCTGTGCTCCACCTCAGCTGTCAAATGTATTCATTACAAAAACAAAAAAAAAGGCCGCCCTGATCTCCAAGATCCCACACAGTTCCCGTCTATTTCTAACTGAAGTCTTTAGATCAGAACGTTTCTGTTCACTGTTTTCCCCTCACTTATCAGATCTGGTCAGTTTTAATCCACCATTTTTTTTTGCCTTTCGTAGACTGTGCTGGCCATTACTGGAATGAACTGGCTGAATTTCCATTCATAAATCAAATTCACGCGTTGTTAGTAGATCACCCACAGAAAACTTCCGTTCCCGTCAGCAGCCTCATGTTATTCAAAATGTGTGTCCTCGGAGGATGCAGATATCTACAGTTTGAGCAGTTAATATTAAAAATATAAAGGTAACTTTTTCATACGATAGATCTCTACAGTCAAATTAGATGCAGTGAAAACATTAGAAACATTCAAACATTACAGCTGTAAGCAGAACTGCTTGGACTTTGTTAACACAGAGGCGGAGTTAAAAGATGGAGAGACGATGAGGGGAGCTGAGCGAAGAATGCAAACACAGGTGGAGGGTGAGTGGAGTGGAGGTGCAGGGTGGGCATGTTTACCAGGAGCAAAGACCTTGGAGAGTGCCATCTTGTTTTCACCGCTTTCCTGACGTCGGCCTGGAGAGGAGGAGGAGGAGGAGGAGGGATGAAGGTGGAGGTGGGTGGGGGAGGGGAGGGGAGAGTGGCAGAGAAAAGGATGTGATGACACCAACAACAACAACAACAAGTGAAGCACAGAGCGGCTGCGACAGAGGGGCTGGACGCTCACTGGTTTCTTCTGTCTGCTGTAAACACGAACCGGCTGGTTCAGGATGACGTTTGATAACTAACCGAGTGAAATGGAGAAAATTCTGCCATTTGTTGCCTCAACATTGTTGCTCCTTTGTGTTTTCACAACGACATCACGTGCTCACAATGCACGACCTGACGTTTGGCTGAATGACAAGAAAGGCTCACATGCAATATGACAGTAAGAGCTGTTTTTTCTTTATACTCATTCTGTGGATGTCGCTATTTAACTCGTTTCATGTTTTTCTACCACCAGAATAAGCATGAGGCTTATTCAATATAGATTTCAGAAACTGACTTATTGTATAGATGGGGAGTGGGTGACATTATTTTTGCTAAGGTTAAATACGCGAAGGACCACAAACTGAATAATTGAACTGATACATTCCTGGGGAAAAAGTAAAAAGTTAATAATATGAAGACTCTATGAACATTTAAAGCGGTCTACATTTTCCTCTGTAGGTCAGTTCCAGCCTTAAGCTGCTTCTTATTCGTGTTTTGGAACCTGTTTTGCTTGAGGATGTTGAGGGACGGATTGACTCGGTGTGCAGGGGTGCGGCCCTCGGGCTTTGTTTTGCCCATGTGTGACCTGGAGTGTTTTGGTATGGGTACTCCAGTTTTGGATATATTAGTTGTGGATAAGTCTGCCTTCTCTTCAGTATAAAGAAACTAAATGGTGTTCATCTCATGGAGCTTGGACCACATAAAAAGACTGCCTGAGATGTTTTCTTTGTATCGAACTACATCGCCAACCAGAAGAAAAACGCAGCTGGCTGACATTACTAGATCTTGTCACGATGCCACAAGCAGATACAGTACTGTGAAATAGTCTCCAGTCACCCCTCATTTTTTTTAAATGTTGCTTTCAAGCAAGTAATTTTTAAAGTGCTCTTTAGCAACATTATCCAGGCTTTCTGGAGGTCTTTCTGGAAGTGTTTCTTACTACACTGGCTACTTTTTAACTTTTTCAGTCCAGTCCTTGTACCTGACCATTTTCAGAGGCATGTTGGTTGTTTGTTGAGCCACATAACAAATTCTAACAGCTAATGCACGTGTGACTGGGGTACATAGGTACTTTGCTCAGAGCTGTAAACATAAAAACATAAAATCTGCATAAACTCACAGTCTCTGAACTGTTCCACATCATCGTCGAACACAGCCTCCTTCAGGGCGCTCTTGTCGTACGTGCAAATGGTTTCTCCGTAGCCGTATGGGGCAAATTCTCGAGTCCGCGGCCCAGAGAAGGAGCGCGGCGATGGCGTGTTGAGCAGCGAAGTTTTGTTGTCCAAGGCAGTGCGACCGCCTTCCACCACGTCTAAGCCGAGCCGGGCATCAGACCCAGGAGAGGAAGCTACTCCTTCTCTCCCTGCCTGCGAGATGGGAGAGGGATTAGGCAGTGGTATAAAGAAGATCTGGAGCCATTTTAGCTTCAAATAACCATAAAAATATGAAAGCAAACCAAACAATATGCAAAAAATGACACATGCCTCACAAAAAGAAAGAGTATCCGAAGACAAATCAGTGCATTACATACACAGTCTGCCTGCAGTGGCTACAGAGGCTGAGTCAGCACTGATTAGTAGATGTGATGTTCTCATATAGTCAATAGACGTAACTTGGCAACAAATTATCAAGCATTAGCTGACAACTTAGAGCACCCCCCTCTCATCTAGACATGGTCACAACTGCTCTAAACACCACCCGAAATAGTGGCGACTAAAATGTTTAAAAGGGTTACAGAAACCAGCAGGAGATACTAAAAGCACAGTTATTTCATGGTCAACATACAACCAGAAAGCCAAACCACTTTTGAGGTCTAAGAACCTAAAAACTGTTTGAAAAATGTCTTGAAAAATGAAAAATGTAATGCAGCAGTGTCTTAAAAAAGGATCAGAATTCATTCTAAGCATTTAATGTCAAATGAAATTCCAGATTTTTCAGAACTGGTTCTGGATATGAAGCTTGTGGCTTACTGCATCATCCCTCTTTGCCTCCCGTCTAATAGGCTCGTTCAGATCCTCTTGGCTCCGGTAGGAGAAGCTCTGGATGGCTTCAGTGACGCCACGCAGCGAGCTGTAGATCTCGTCTGAGTTCATGTTCTCCGTGTCGTACTCCATCATGCTGCCAGACACACAGACATAAAAAGAAACGCATGCATGCACTTTTATATAAAATATGCAGCAAAAGCAAAATACAGCCACATGAATCTGCAGACATATGCATGCGACGAAGCTGTGCTCTTGACAGAAAAGCAGACTGATTTAGAGCATGAAAGGTCAGGACTGACATAACCCTTAAAAATTATGGATTTTCAAAAGGATGCTTCCACTTTATTAGACATGATGGTTTAATGCATGCATTCTCAGATGGTTTGGTGAACTGGGTAAAGAAAAGGATGAGAGTGTGGATTCCTTAGGCCACAATCTCCAACGTGCCCGCCTCATTACCTGGGTGAATACGCTCTGCGCAGGACCCTTATGGTGGGGGCAGCAGAGGTGGAGTGAGGCGTAGGAGGAGGAGGAGGAGGGGCAGGCGGGTGCTTTGATAGTCCGTCGACACCCCAACCCCATAACCGACTGTTGTCACAGCGCGGCCGGGAGGGAAGGACGGACAGACAGGAGTGAGAGAGCAGGGAAAGGTGGATGGAAACCGACAACACGAGGAGAGAGCACGGGACGAGACAAGAGAAGGGAGGAGAGAGAGGAAACAGCAAGTGCGCAGGAAGAGAAAGAGAAAAGACAAAAAGAAACTAGTCTGAGCTTTAAGGTTACGGGAAAGTGTTAATTAAAGAGGAAAGCAGAATCCCGTAAAAAGTGAGCATGTCGAGTTCATCCATGTAAATAGAACTTTTAACTGATTTTAAGTTGGAGAGTCTCAATGTCAAGGTTGTTTCCTTGTTCACCTCACCGAAAGTCCTGTTCTGACCATAAAGGTGCCAAAAACAAACTTCTCTGTTTTATAGTTAATGGCAGGTAATTTTTTTAAAACACAACTCATCCATTTGGATTTTATTAAAGCATAAAGAAAGCACATTTTGTCCCTATTAACATAAAAAGAAACATGTATCAGCTTCCAGGATGGAAAAATCAAGTGCAGTTCCTCTAACGTCAACCAGAGGCACCAAAATACAAAATAGCTGTTACCCACCCTGTTTGTTCTGTAGGAGCATTCTGTAGCATTTTAATTAAAATAAATGAATAAACCTTCTGAAACCTGCTAATATTTGGAACTTAAGTATGATATCATCATCATCATCATCCAAGTGCAATAAGGACAAGATTTTATACATTGTATTTCAGTGAATACAATTCTAGGACTTTTATTAAATGCTACACAGCAATAATTAATCTGTATCTGTGTGATGCACCCATATGGCCTGTCGTTGCTAGCTAGCATCTTCTTGCCAGGTCTGAATCCTTGACTCCTAACTTCTTCACCATTTCAGATAAATCTCAGATACACAAATGCAAGTGATCAGAACAGGACTTTGAGGAAGCAATCTGATCATGGCAGCTGGGCTGAAAGTGTTGCAACGCTGCCCAAAAGAAATGTTTTTTTGCCCACATTTCAATTCAGTGTGGTTTGTGATATTTATGGGTTAAGCTGGGTAAATTAGTTAATTGTGTGACTGTGATTTTATCTTGAAAGATAACCTTGAAAAAGCATTTTTGTGCTGCTAATGCTCTCCATACAAGGTGCACTGCAGGTTCAGGTGAAGTAACAATAACTTAAATAACTTATCAATGTTTATGGGTTTCTGCTGGCAGATAAAAGGACAATCCAGGCACAGTGTGTGTGAGCTGAATGAGCTGCTCAGCGTGGAAGAATGAAACTGGATTTTAGGTAAGTGGGCTGCATTATGCTGTAAAAACAGCAGATTAATGCAGCAATCACCCTCCTCTGGTTTACTTTTACAACATGATCGTGTATGACAACTTGAAAGGCTCATTTATCAGTCGCTATGCAGCGAAACTTTTAGCAATCAGACAATTGGCAGGAGGAGTTTTGTAAGATTTCTTTTGTCTTTGTAAATAATTGCTTCTTTGTTTTCACATATGTGTGAATGAATTATGGGCTGTAATCTCTAGAACAGCTCACTCAGTCTCGAGCTACTACAGACCCACCTGGCTGCGTGTTACTTTGTCTACAGGTGACACATGATGACAGCACCAGTATCCCACCATTAAAACACAGCCATGCGTCGACACAGTGAGTGTGTTATTAAGGACAGTGTCATCAAAGGCGGCTGCCTACCTTGGAGAGAGTCCTCCATGGGAGCAGTTTGTCGGTGAGGTGAGAGGGCTGGTCCTGCTGGGTGTGTGACGAGCCGGCATTCGGCCAATAGTGTTACTCGGAGAGCCCTGAATATCAACGACATGAAATTACATACAACGTAACATCGGAAACAGAAGTCCACCTCAAGTTCAATCAGTTCAACTCATCTTAGAATACCGCAACCTGGGTGACTGTAACATTTTTCCCCTCAGTGACATAGAAATCTTACTGACCACATTGCTGCTGGTGTTGCTCGTGTTCTTCAGGTGGTTGTGCAGCAGCTTGGTGGCGCCGTCCTGGAAAGTTTTGGGCAGTGCTCCCAGCAGCATGGTGAACTCTGGGGTGTTGAGCTCAAACAAAGCAATCAGCACCACCTGTGCCGCCTGCAGGCAGCGAGCACAACGTGTTAGAAAAGAAAGCAGAACTGCAGAGAACCTTCAGATACCTTCAGGCTTTCATGGTTTCAGAAGCACCTCGGCCAGGTAGCTACCTGCTCATTATAATGCACATTAGCAACCTAGTGTCTTTAAATTAGCTATTTTAAAGCTCTCGTTAACACCCTATTCTTCCTGACGATATTCTCCCAATACTGGACTATTAACTGAAGAGTTTTCAATCTGGTTGCTGCTTTTAGACCAAACGTAAGGAAGCAGCTCTATCTGAATTATGATCTTCAGAGGAGGCTATACCTCCACTCTAAATCATGTTTGACTGAATATGAACGAGCTACCCATTCTAATTCCTGAGGTTCACTCACAGTTAACTCACATTTACTTTGATAAATATGAATCTACAAAAGATTCCCTATTCTAACCACTGGCTCTTCTTCAACCACGGCTCCCAACTATCGCAGTTAAATGATGCTATTCCAAAGTGAGGAGTCACAGGTCAAAAATGAGGGAATTCTACAGAATTTACAGGAAGCAGGGAAAGGGTTATAAATGCTGAACTGTACCAGGAAGCAAGAAACAGGTGAATTCCTAACACTGACATTCTCCTACACTTCAGTGCATCTTATTCTAAAAAGCAGTTAATGATACTAAAAAGCTTCAGGTTCAGTTCTTATGAGGCCATGAGTAAAGCATATCAAAATCATAATTTATGTACAAGATCTTCTTTATTTATCCAATAAGCAGTAATTATGAAGGTACTGGCCAAAGACTCATTGTTGTACCCTAAAAACTGCAGAACATGCTTGTGTAGAATAAGGCATCACTGAGTGCTTTATGGCTAACCCTAGAGCCAATAGGCTGATATGCACACTAACGAGGAACTAGTTAATGCTTAACATGTGTATTCCAATATCAAGCACATACAGTGGACATTATGACTTATCAAGTTAGAATAACAGTAATGTTTTACAATATTTTACAGAATTTGATACACAGGTTGTTGCCAATGCACTTCTGAAACCATGGAAGACATTCTTTCACTTTCTGGCTCCAAGGCGGGCTTCTTGGTGCAGTAATGGAGGCTTTAGCCTGTAGAAAAACATTTTTTGAAAGGTGAGAATTCAAAGATGCATTCAGTAGAAAACTAAAGGAAGAAGAATCTTTTCAGGAAAATCAGTGCTGCAACATGCAAGTGAGCAAAGATAAAGGAGAAAGTACTGGTGTGCTGCTGCTGCTGCAGGAGAATAGAAGTTGATGTTTAACAGAACAATGTTTGGTCTATTATTGGGAATAAGTTGTCAAATATGTCATGTTTGATTCTTGTGCAGGTTTCTAGTAAGAAGCGATAGAGAAATGACAACCACACACCAGTTTTACTTAGGGATGCACCAATCACAGTTTATATCGGCTATAATTCTGATTTCAATGACCCGATTGCATATTTATGACAAAACGATGATCAATTAAACATCCAACAGGTTGTTTTCAGGAGGAAAAAAACTTGCCTTCCAGTATGTGCACAGCCCAGTTTGATTACTGTAAATATCTCTTTAAAGAATTTTCACACTTTATTTGAACTTAACCAACATAGGGTCTAAAACATAAAATATAACATCCTGATACATCGGATGATTTTTTGTGTGTTAAGAGTTCAGATGAGCTGATTGATGTATTTGTGGCTCCAAACGCAGCGAAGCTGCCCATCTCTTCTTTACCTTTATAATTTCCATTTATAAACTCACTATAGATTATACCTAATATTCACCAGGAATAGCATCATACAAAATAAACTACTAGGGATTCTAATTTTATAGAACTACAAAACCCACAGTAAAAATCTTTAAACTGATAAACTGTGAGGACAAAATGTCCGGGGAGACATCTTCTAGTTGCTGATAATTTGTTCATTTAGGATGGGACTACACAAAACTCTAACCTGGGGCAGCAGTGAAGCTATGCCTGCACATTGTGCTTGAAGGTCGGCTAATATAGCATTGAAGGAACCAACTATCCCAACCAGTGTTGTGTGTTTCTTTGCAGTTGTTTAACTTAGTAAAAACACACAAAAAACAAACATTTAAATCACCCTGTTGGCCCTCTCTTCTGTCTTTCACTTTGTTGGGATTAACAGTTCATGAACAGCTTTTATTGCACTTAGTGCAATAAAAGTGATAACAAGGTATCATCAACTCAATTAATGCTATCCTTGCTTTAGCTGCTCTGCTCTGTGTGTGAATATATACAGTGAAACAGAGAGCACGGGAAGACAGGAGACTAACCTGAGCTTAAATGAGATGTAAGCAAAATAATTACATAATTAACTCAAATGTATTTCTTTGTCGACTGTTAATTTAAGCCTGAATTCTTTAACAGAAATGACTCTTTCATGGTAATACAGTGTATTAATACTGGTGTGGAAAAACAAAAAAAAGGATATTGGTTAGGATTGGTTTAGTTTTGATGTCTTAAAAACTGGGTTGCTTTTTAATTTTGCAAAATGAGCAAATGCAAATGAGCTCATTTCTACTTGAGGTCTAACTATTAAGCTGATTCATAAAAAAAGATTTTAGGCAGTTCTCTTCATTTGTGCAATTGCTGAACTAAAAGGATGAGTGATTTATGAGCTTTACTGGGGATATTTAGTGTATCACAGTAGCACAAAGCACTTACAAGGTACTGCTGTCAGACACAAAAATCAGATTTGACCATGTGCTTCACTTTACCATAATTCCTCAAATACTTAGGGCTAGATAGAAAATTAAAATGGTTATTAAATGAGAATTATTTTGTATTTTTACAGCTAAAATTACAACGTAAATCCAGCCGGCCTGTATGACACTTGGGTGATAAAGGGGTGACATCCAGCTCTTGGTGCCACTATTCCTGACACACGTATCTAAAATCTTCATGTTAGCATGCAGATATGCAGGTGGACGGCAGGTTGTTAGGGTGAGTCAAACAGTGTTAGGCACAAACTATTAAAACAAAAAAAACGAGCATTCCTATTAATGTTGCACTGCAAAATTAAAATCCATCCAAATGCATTCAAAACCACAAGCTTTCCTGGAGAACTACGAATGTTAAACAAAAGTCTTTCCAGGTTGCACAACAAGCTCAGTTTATTTGGTGAGTGATCACTTTGCCAGGCACACACTGACTTTATTTGTTCAGCAGAACAGCTGGAGTGTAAATGGTGAGTGACAGGATGCCGCAGTTGGCTTTTTTCTTTTTCGCAGGTTTGGTGGCTGGTTAGGTACCGGGCAGGCGGGGCATTGCGTGCTTGTTGTGATGTAATTGGCTGCTGAAGAGGGCTCTACCTGCTTACACCTTTCTTCCTGGTTGCCCTCAGTTGACTGCAGTAAGGCTGCAGTGCTGGACCTGCCTGCTAGCTCCTCGCTCACCCAGTTATGAAGGGTCTGGGGCAACAGTGGCAAGGCAGAAGGGGCATTACAGAATGGCACAGGACCCCAACCATCATCACAGAAGCAATATTTGAGAAGATCTGTGCATGTGGATCAGTGTCCCCTGATAATAGATGCACCTATTGTATTCTTGTTGGTCTATTTACAGCATATCTAAAGATTTGGGCTGGGTGAGGATTTCATTTGGAAGAGCGGCAGTGGAAAAACAAACAGTGAGGAACACAGAGGGAGAACATATGACGCGCATCAGACAAGGGAAAGATAATGGGCCATTGACCCAAGGCCATCCACAGGGAGAGTGCCTATTATCAAAGTTTACAACTGCTGCTGGACAAACACAACAGGCCAAGGAACCCAAATGAAATAAAGGAGCAGAGGAATACAATATAACAGTTCTGTAGTCAGCAATTTTCTGTAAATTCCAACCCCACATTTTTGTTTTTGGACACTTCACAGACAGCTTTACATGATTCAAACACATCCTTCAATACGATCCTTCTGTATTTTATACTGTTTCTTGGTTCAAGCCGTTTTAGGTCCACCGTGCCTCTTTAAAGGTGCTTTCGGTACAATAAATAAATAAATAAAACGTTCTAAAAATATCAATAGAATGTAAAGAAAGTGCAGAGATTAAGTAAGACATCTTTGTATTGTGTTGTAGAGATATCAACTGAAGATGAAATGGGGCCACAATGTACTCTTTGATAATACTAGAAGGAAATAATAACTAGAATACTAAGTGTGAGAGCCTTATAGACATATTTTGGCCTACCTTCCGCACATCGGAACTTTTTGGTTCAGTGGTCCAGGTGATGATGCGAGACACCGCGAGCCGAGTCTCGCTGGAGTTGACAAAGTCTGTGGGATCCATCTGCCGTGCCAGGGACTCGATGTACTTTAAAATGGCCACTTTCACCTGAAGAGACAAGAAACCTTTAGTCTTGCTGAAATTATATCTGCCGACCAAAAATCAACTTTACTTCTACTTTACCTTGAGGTTTGGAGTCTGAGTCTGATCCACAATAAACCTCATCAGAATGTTGAACTGCTGGTCAAATGGGAAGGACTCCCTAACACAGAGAATGAGAACAGAATTCAATTCTTTCCTTCATGTGGCTTTTAAGCGGGTCTAAGGAAAAGCTGAAATAGGTTTCGAGTTTCATTTTACGTGAAGCGTCCATGTTACTGCAGTAATGTTAGATCCCAAAACTGGAGACAAGTACAACTCTGTATGAAGTCACGCTCACAGCTGTTGAAGGGTTTCTTTTCAAAGGTGCAGATAGAAATACCGCAGCTTTATGACAACTACTGCATCTCAAAGAGTAGCAAGTACCTCCAACAAGCATCTGTGGTATTTTTTTATTTTTTAAGATCATGTAAATCACTCTGTTTCAGTTAGGCCTCAGTCAGTGTCAAAAAAGAAACAGCACACAGCTGCAAAATGTAGATGAAGGTCTGCAGAGCTCAGCGTAGCTCCTGCAGACTACCATCACTGCACCACTCAAGGACCGTTAGCCCAGAATGAGATAAATGGAAATTTTAGTATCACTCTGTAGAAGAAGTCCAGGTGACGGGGTGTAATGCTTGTTCTAAATATCAATATATTTGCAAATGATTGGACAGCAGTGTTTATATCAGTATAATTTGATGTGGCCTCTGCTTTAAATTTGCTCTCAAAATTGCCTTGCAGCAACGGGGGTCAAACTGCAAACAATAAATCAAAGTTTTAAATGTCCACATTTATATTAAAGCCACAGCTGTGCATGTAAAACCCAAAAGGTTTGTTCATTTGTGAAAAGAATACGCTAATAGAGAATAAAAGCAAGAACTTTTACCCTGCAAGCACGGCTTGCTCGACTACTTTTTTGTGACTTTTGCATTTCAAGATGTTAACTCAGACCTGAATTGATCCTTTAAAACACCAAAGTGAGTTTTTGTGGAAATAGCCTGGTGGAGAGAGGCTTCACTTTCTGTCTGATGTTCCATTTGTGTCCACAGCAGCACATGGCTTTAGATTATGTGTGTACTTGGGGGGGTGGGGGGGGGTGGTCTACTACCACCTGCTGCAGGTAACACACTGACTGTGGATCAGAAATATGAGAAAACAGTTTACCCAGTAAAATAGTTTTCATTTTAAACACAGACTTTCTTCAAAACTGCAGCAGCTTCCGACTGAGAAACTAACGGTCTGTTTTTATGGATCCGTCTATCTCGTTGCTTTTATTGAAAAATAATGATCTGTATATAATGCGATTCCATCTGACTGAATTATATAACATTTGATCCTGCATGCCTACTCCTTATCGACCAGCAATGCAATAGGAAGCAGCCATGACTGGTGTGACTTTCAGACCTTGTGACATCCAGGGCTTTCTGGACTTTGGCCTGGACTGAGCCAAGCAGGTCTGCGCCCATCTTCTTCAGCAGCTGGGTGAGCAGGACAAAGAGCCAGTCCTGCAGGTCCTCCCTGTGTACTGTGACGAAGTCCACGAGAGTTTCAAGGAACATGCTGAAGACCTGCAAATATGCACACAGATCATACATTTAAAATGCAAAACATTTGTTAAGGAGGGAAAAAAAACTTGCAGTTTTTTAAAAATCTCATATTTATTTGCAGAATATGAATTCAAAAACAAACTTACTCTCTGTTGTTAAGTCCACAGCAAGGCAGAACATGCAACAAGGGACGCCTCATTAGTACCAAAAAGTCACCGCATACACATGTAATGTACCATGCATTCATATTGATGTCAGTGTTCATCCAAATGGATTGATTTAGTTGGTAAAGTTCTGATTCATTACCTTGCTGTGAGGATCTGCAAACATCCGTGTGAAGATCTCACAAAGTCTCTTCAGCTCCACGCGACTGCAGCCAACCAACAGAACCAGACAACCAATCAGCCATCACCAATCAATCATCAATGACTCAGCTTTAAGCAAAAGGCCAAATATAAAATCCATCAGGTCATTGCCAGCGCATTTGGGGAAAGCAAATGATCATTGTGTACCTGTTTATCCTTGAGTTTAAATGCACCTGTGGTGATCTACCATGTGCTTCCATGGGTTCAGCTAACCACCTGTTTTCAGATTTCCTTACAGTCTATCTCACTCTGGCTAGCAGGTTGTACACAGTTATTGTTCTGGTTCGCCACCAATCGGATGGTTGATTTGTTTAGTAAGGGTTATAGAACAGACAGACATACAGACTGTTCCAACTGAGGAAGAAATTCACCTGTAACTTGAAGAAACGCGCAGGGAAACCACAGATTTTTTTTTATGACTCCTTTGTTGTGCATGTATCCAAACACATTGGGATTTGCATTACTCAAGATAACCAACAAATCCGAAATCACCTCTAAAAGTGATTTGTGTGCACCTTTGAACCACTCTGAAGAAAGACAATAATAACAATAACTAGTCCCCAAATACTAAAGCACATATTTCTTGCATATGTATTTTTATACCCGACAGCGCGCTCCCACCTCAGTATTCTTTGGCTCTTGAGGAGGTTCTGCAGGCCCAGCAGGCCCTCCTTCCTCTCAGACCAGTTGGAACTGGCACAGTGGTTCAGGACCTCAGCCACATCCTCCGTCTGGCGCAAGTAATGGGGGATTCCTCCATTTCGTGACCCGTACGAGCGCTCCGAGCATGCGCTAGATGCGTCGCTGTTGGCATCGTCGTCAGAGTACATCCCCGGGGATTCGTACCTCCGTCTCAATGTCTTCCTCTGAGAAGGGAAGATGGACACTGAGGATTTGATACCGAAATACTGACCGGCTGTGAGGTAACAATCTTGATAAAAGCTTGCCTGTTGCATCTGGTAGCCATGCGGTTTTCTCAACAGTTTAAGAAAATTAAAAGTCCAAATTTGTACGTAGATGATATGAAATTCTTCTAATACATTTTAAAGCATTTTCTTTCATTCTTCCTATAAAAAGCCAGTCAAGCAGTGCCACAAGTAAGCAAAGGCCTTGCAGTGGGGGACACGTCAAACAGAAGAGCATATTTAATCTTATCTCAAAAAATGAGCAATGTGCCAAAACAATGACGTTCAACACATTTATACCACAAAGACGTGTCTCTGCTCTGGTACCACAGATGCTCACATCAGGGATGCGATGGACAAACATTCAAAGTGAAACAAAAAAATAAAGAAAAATAAAGAAATAAGAAGGCTTTGGGGTGGAGGAGCGATTATGATGAGGCAAGCTGCATTATTGTTTTCTTTACTTGGTTAGTGTATGATGGCATGGATACATGGACAGAAATGCAAAATGACCAACTACCTTATTCCTGGAGTCTCCTAAAAGCTGAAATGGTAACAAACAACCAAGAGGAAAAGAGGAGAAAGGGAACGTTTAAAGGAGGATCAAAGAAAGAGTTCAGTTCATTTTTCTGCGTGCAACACACATGTGACGAGACGTGTTAGAAATATATCTGATCTTAGTAAACGTAAAACTTTTTCATGGAGCTCCGTATTCCTGAAAAAAGGTCAGAATGATTGTTACGTTTGGTGACATCTACTGTTTTAGCAGTAAAGGAAGTCTTCACAGTGGCCTGAGCATCCATCCTTAACACTTACTAATTAAGATTGCACAAGTGACACGTAAGGCTTCATGGAGTACAAGTACCTGGATAATTATACAGCACCAAATCACAACAAGAGTCGCCTCAATGAGCTTTATATTGTAAGGTAGACCCTACAATAATACATACAGAGAAAAACCCAACAGTCATATGACCCCATATGAGCAAGCACTTTGGCAACAGTGGGAAGAAAAAACTCCCTTTTAACAGGAAGAAACCTCCGGTAGAACCAGGCTCAAGGAAGGACGGCCATTAGCCACGACCGGTTGGAGTGAGAGAAGGGTTTAATTTAATGTTTAACAAAGTGTGTGCGAACAGGTGCTTATATGAACATGTGTGCTAACTAACCAATCAACATGCAGCACTACCAGCTACATCAAAAATGGAGTCAATGGAGTCAATACAATACTGTACTTTTTAAAAACTAAAATACAGCCCTCCTTCCAAATTCACTCTTACTCATTGTGGACCATCTCATGAGAGCCCTCTTGGTAAATACAATTTATAGCCAATTAAATTTTATTTTATTTTATTTATTTAGTGCCAATTCACAACAACAATCATCTCAAGGTGTGTTATACTGTAAGGTAAACCGCAACAATGTTGGAGAAAACAAAAATCCCCCAAAACAGACAATCTTCTGTAAGCAGCTGATGGTGGGGAAGACGAACTCCCTTTTAACAGGAAGAAACCTCTAATACAAACAGGACAAGGGGAGCGGCCATCTGCCTGACTGATTGGGCATAAGGACAAAAGGGGAAAACATAGAGAGACCAGCAGTTTATGCTAGCTAGCTACCCCACACCAGTAGATTTATTTATTTATTCTTTTTTTCATCTGGTAATATTGAGACGACTCCTGCCACTGACTGGTGTTTATGTATGTCAAACCTTCATCCACGCGGTCAGAGGTTTGATAAGTGCCCACAAAATGGGAATGCTAAAGCAGTAATAAACAATTTTCCAATCTATCTCTTTGATTGGAAAAAATTGTGCACTAATTTAAGACTTAATACATGAAAATATGCAGTGTGGATTTGAATAAGGACATGCAACCATTAATGCAGGTAGATGACCAACTGCCCGGACCTCACTTGCTCATTTTAACATTTTATCTTTTCAGACAGACTTTAAATCTAATAGTTTCTACATCCATTTTCTAACACTGGGGAACAATTAATTCTCTAGTTGTGTAGGTGACAAGGTCACAAGAATGGGACGGACATAAACACAAGCCAAAAAGATAAGATATCTCATACTTGATGATAAAAGTTTACACAATGTATCTCCACACTGATAAACTTCTTAAAAGTGTTGCCAGTAGAGACAAGTCTTTTTGTTTGCTATGCAACATTGTTGTGTTAATTTAATATAAAAACATTTTTTAATGTTAATCACAAATTTTAAATTATGCGTCTTTTCTCTCAAAAACCATCAACTTACCAGAGCATCAGCGACTGCTGCCTCCACCTCTGTGCCGGTGTTTAGGACCCTCATGGCATTAACGGACGCAGAAATTCTTGCTTGATGCACCAAACCGTACCGGTCTGCAAACAGAAATGGGAACAGAGGACAGTAAAGTGAAGGTGAATAAAAGCACAAATGCACAGTTACTTACCTGCTTCTCTTACTTACTGGTCTCTTCAAGCAAAAAGAAAAATGCTGTGAATTAACAGCTGAAAATATATTTAAGGCTCCAACCACCAAAAGCAAAAAGAAAAGCAACATCTTATAGAAGAAAAACCCAAACAGCAGGTGACCAGGCCCTCGGCCACTAAGCACAGACATGCATCACAGCGGCTGTATACTTATCCCTTGGAAGAAGAAGGATTTAAGAAACCCGCAATTCACCAAATAGGAAAAAACAAACATGTATGTTAAAAAAACAACAACAAAAAAACCCATGGAAAAACAAACAAAAAATATATTTAAAAGAAAGATATTTAATGCCACGAAACAAATTTCACATTAGCACAAAAAAAATGTAACCGCAGCTATAAACACACTAGAGGCCACTGAATTAAACAAAAAAATAAATAAATCACAGCTAACCAGAAAAAAATATAAGAAAAATAAGGCACCGGGAATGCAAAAGAGTGAACACTGTATCAAGAACATAAAATAAAATAAATAAAATAAAATGTTCCCTTTACATGCTTAATTACAAAGATACTGAATAAAATACTGAGCAGGGAACATAAAACCAACTATAAATGTTGCCTGTAGTCACGTCACTGTACACATCCACAGAAGCATGCTGGCCGGCATGATTTGTGTGTAATATTTTAAAAAAATGGGAGGAAACTGAAAGCGGCTTGGCTAGTTGGGGAATCTGATCATGCAGGTCACCTGACTGGCCGTGGGGGTCGGCTGTGGAGAGAGCGCTGGTTGAACGGGAGTGACGTCGGGAGGCTGCGAGGGAAACGAAAGGTGGGCAACATCCGGACCAAAGGGTTAGTGGTGCAAACACACAGACAGAAGCCATTTTTACTCTGCTGGGCTGAGCTTCATGCAACACTGGCTTCAGCACCTCCTCCTGGGCTCAATGGGCTCCCAGGCAGTCCTGAAAACGACAGTTCCTCTCAAGTCCACTTGAAGCCAAAAGTGAATTAATTGCTATCATATTAAAATGTCCAACTTTAAAAAAAGAAAAAACAAAACAAAACAATGTTACAATTATTACATGGAGACCAAACCAGTTCTTTGTTTATCTGTAAACATGTTGATTTCTGCTGTAAAGTTGGACATTTTAATGTTGGTGTCTAAGTATATATGGGAGTTTATGTGGACACGTGCGCTGCTGGAGCCTCTAGTTGACATTAGATGAACTGCTTTTTGTTTGATTGACTGATTTTTCACCCTGAGGCTGCATCTTGGCAGAGCTTAATGGATTGGGAGCAGTGTCAAAAATATTTGGCTAGTAAACAACGCTACTCTTGTTCTTACAATAGTGATTTTGTCCTTTCTGAGTTTAATGTGATAAAAATGTCCAAAATGAACGACACATTTTATTCAGTAATACCTGAAACTAGTGACTGAGACTGAAACTCATCAGGGAAGTGTTTATTTTCTCATAGACAACAATATGCAATCAGACTTGCAGGTTTAAGCCACTCTGGCAACATAATGTTACCCTTTCTAGCCAAACTGAAACATAAATCTGCCTTTTTGCATTATCCAACCATTCTGCATATTACACTTTTAAGTGTTATGATTTGACATAAAACTGAAGAAAACCTGCTTTAGCTCCATTTCTTGCTCTTAACCTGTGCAAACACAGATCGTTCAGATCAGTTCAGCAGAGTAAAAACAGGTCACGTGTACAGGATAACAGGAGGTGTTGCCCGTCATAATAACAAAGAATTTTTAACATTAAACGTCGGTGAAAACATGTAGCCTTTTTCCCAGCACACATTTAGATTTTTCAAAGTAAGAAAAACACTTATGTTTCTAATACTTGAAAAAAATGGAATCAACCGATATTCATTCACTTATTTTTTTCTACCGTGATAAATCAAAATATTAGCTGTGAAAAGGCAACAAAATGAATAACTGAACTGTGTCTGCTGGCAGAGCAACATAAAGCAAAAAATTCTTTAACAGAGAACAGAAAAAGATGCTGTTACTCTCACAGTTTAGAGTTTTTGGGTTTGGGTCCAAAGAAATTTAGAGAGATTTTCCTGGCAGAGAATGGTGTGATGACAGTAAGCGGGACCAGTCTGCATACGGTAGAGGCAAAGGCATTTCTCACCATTTAATTGGCAAACATGTCTATGATGTTTGAATAAATCCAAATCCAGTTTACTGGAACTAGTGAGATTGGGTATCAAGTCCATAGAGGCCTCTACATTTGACCACTACCTGATCCACAAAACACTGGACCCTTCTTCTTGCGGTTGTTGGCCCCCCGGGGGGGCCATTCCTTGCTTTTCCTTTTTTTTTTTTCAGGAAACCTTTTTGATTTTGGGTTGGTTGTTTTGCCCCTTTTTGCAGTTTTTCAACCTTTTCCGGTTTTTTTTCCCTTTTTGGGAAGACAGATTGACAGCTGGATTGATGAAACATCTGCGAGGATGTGGATGCTGTGTCCGGCTGTTGTGTTGAAGAGACAGCTGAGCATGAAGGTGAAGCTGGTCAAGCTATGTTCATACCCTAATCTGTGACCGTGAATTAGGGGTAATAACTCAGTGAATAAGATCATGCATACAAGTGTTGAGAATGAGCTTCATATGGTGGCTGAGCCCTCTGTGCACCATTTTACCACCATCTGGTGAATGCCTCTTTACAACAAACTTGACGTCACGCCTCTTGATTTCTGTAATCCTACGCATTGTGCCACTGCAGCTGGGTTGAAGACACGAGTCTACGAACATGTTGGTGTTCATGACCATTTTACTGATGTATCACTACAGAAGTTCAGAGATCAAGTTTGAAAAAATGAAGTTTGTGGAAAAAACTCTGATTGTTCAGGAGAATAATGCAGCAGCGACCTGTGCCGTAACAGCAAGGATAAATACATGTGGCTGTGTGGTTACGTCACTGGTTGCGTGCAATGTGACCAATGTGTTGGGTGTACTGGTGGCCTTAAGAATAGGATGACATGGTCAGTCATTCTGGAGAAGCTCAGAGTAGATCTGCTGCTTCTGAAAAGAAGACCCAGGATGTGCTAGAGAGATATGTCTTTAGTTTGGATTATCTTGCTGTCCTTATCCAGGAAGAACTGGAGGAGGGTCTAGACAACGATTGGTTACTGCTTCTCCGAGAAGTAATTTTTACTACTTTGTTTATGCTTAGATTTCAAAAATTCTGCAGAGAGATTAAAAAGCCCTTCATCTGCACATGATTTCACTTACAACTATTTCAATTACAGGAATCCCTCTTAAAAAAAGCCCAGCACAGAAACACTGAGGTAAATCTCTTATATAGGAAAACAATTAAATTAAGAAGAGGAAAAACAGAGCAGACACAGAGGAAGGCATGCAGAGATTTCAGATGCTACAGAGAACACAGAGACCAGACAGAAGACTGGAGCAGGAAGCCCGTTTAAGCATCAGGTACATTTTGTTCAGTTGGTAAGCTCACTAGGAGAGAGTCCAGACAGCCGTGAGCTCAGAGATACTCACCCAGAGGAGTGAAGCCCCGAGCGGGGCTGGTGTCACGGCTGCTCTCACGACTGGTGTCGCGACTGCAACCTTGACTCATGCTGGGACGGGGAATGCGGCTCCGGGCTAGCGTGCGGTAGGGGAGAGCAGCAGGAAGAAGAGGTTTACCACACAGGCTGGCTGTTAGGACAACAAGTTAGGTGGGAGTGTCAGTGTGCATCCATAGGAGAAAAGGTGGGAATGAGGCTCGGAGAGAGGAAGACAGAGAGAGAAGAATACTGGAAGCATGAAGCCTCGGATGAGGGTCCTGGAGCATGTAATAGCCAACAATATAAACTGTTTTAAGTGGTTGAACAATAAGTGAGTAACTCTGGTTTTCCATGAAGAGATTACAACAATGTGTATGGTCATTGGAGACAGGAGATTTCTGCGCAGCCCATGTTTATGAGTTTTGGCAGAACAGTGTAAAGGATAGCACAGAAAATCAACTGATTCATAAACCAATCAATAGAGTCAAACTCCTGACCTCTGTCATTGAGTCGGCTAATACAGAGAGACTACGAGAGATTTAAAAAAAAAAAAGGCAGATACAGAAGGAAAATGGTGAGAGTAAAGAAAATGACAAACAGCAGTAGGGGTGAGTGAGAGTCAGTCATACAGCACATGGCCAGGAAAGATTAGATCCAAACACGAGCTCAGGCTTCAAACTGTTAACTTGTGAGAAACAGATCAAAACAGCAGGATTTGTAAAGAAGAAAAAATACAAATGAGCAAGTGAAGAAAATAAAGACCTCTTTCCCATCTCAAATCAAATCTATAAACAAACACAAATAAACACTTGACAAGAAACCAAATTTATCAGAAAAACCAAACAGTTTTTGACTTATAGTCTTTCATCAGGTAACCAGCAACCGATCGAGGGTTGAAGAGCTTCATGAAAAAAAGACCAATAAGAGTTTGGACCTGTAAGTCTGAAAAGTCATGACTGCGCCTGGCCCTACAGCAGGGCAGCCAGAGAGGAGAGGTGTGGTGCACAGGAATTCTTAAGGTACTGGACCATGAAATCAATAAAAATAAAACAGCAAGATCATTAAAGATCATCTTCTTGGGAACGTCCACAATACTAACAGTATCTCTGCTATCTTTAGATTTCTGTTCTGAACACTTGCACTGCTCAGTCAAGAACTGCCGTTTTAAAGTGACCTAAACTTCACAGAGAACATGTTTCTGGTGATGAGCGCTGTGTCTGCGGGTAGGACTGATCAGATTTTAGATTTTTATTCTGGATTTTCATCCAGTCTCCAGACCAAAAGACAGCAGGTGAAATGTGAGACCAGGAGCATGCTTGCATCCCCAAATATTCTTTGGGTTGAATTTGTCTCCCAAGGTCAGACTGTGAACTTTAACTGTAACGTCTGAGAAGGAATATTCAGAGGAAACCATCGGACCTGGATTAAAAACAGAACTTGTACAGAGTTATCTAAAAAAAACAAAATTCTTTTGTAAAAGTTCAAACCAAACAATTTCAATAAAAAAAAAAAATAATAATAATTTTTTGGCCCTGTTGTGAGATATCGTAGGTCAGAATATACCTGTGAGGAGTGATTATTTAAGGACGGGAATCATATCGCAATTTACTGTATCACTGATTTATGATCTGCGCTCTGACAATAAACTCGCTCATGGAAATGTACAGCACACAAAACAAACAGGACTTAATGTTTTTATCAGAAAGATAGGAAAGTCCAGTTTCAGCTATCTGTACATGTGTTCCTGTGACACATGGTGATCAGCACACCTGAGGGGTCAATGCCGTGCAGCCAGTCAAAGGAACACTGTGTGAGATCTGGGCCAGCTTCTTGTTTTTCTTCTGCACAGTTATGTCATATTAATAGTGACACTAAATAAGCAATTCATTCCCTGCACAATTACAATTCCTATTTATGCATCAAATATCAGAAAACTGCAGAAACAAGTCAGAACTAAAGTGTCAGGACTAATGGAATAAATACAGACTGCTGCTGGCTTCAGGAGCCATTTCAAAAATCATCACTTGTAAGAATTCAATTAATAAGAATCTTTATATTCAGGGTTTTATAAACAAGCCGCGCATTATTAACACGTTTTTCAGGCATTAGTTCCAGTTTCAACGTGCCTGTGACTGAACATCTACTCTTAAATCTCTCCTTAAGACTTTTTTTAAACATATTTTCATATGTTTCTATTTCTCCTCTACCACTTTCTTCCTCACTTATATTTTTTATTTATTTTATTCATACTTACAGGTCATATTATTCTGATTGTTCTATGTTTTGATGGAAGCTTTATGCCTCATTTTAAATAGCTGTTTATCCTTATTGTATCGTTATTACTGATGGTGAGCTCTTATTGAATTCTATATAGAACTCTGCCTCGGCATTTTAAAAATGCTAACTAAATGAATAGTATAACAGTAATTAATTATTATTATTTACTGAAACGTGGATTCCCTCAGTTTGCAATGCCTGGTGGAGACGTGCATCAGTATGTCTCAGTGCACAGACTCCCCGTTGTTTATGTCCACTGTCACTTTTTCATTCAGCATTCTCTCTAATGTGTAGATTCTCTTATTTGTTTATTCTACTTTTATCATAACTGGGGTCTAATTTACATTTTTACTGTTATTTATGCAGGTTTGTTAATTTTTGCTGTGCTTTTTATTGCATTGCTATCACATTTGACTTTTAATTGTTCTAAATGCCATCATAATTGATGTTTTATATTCCATATTTTTGTACACTTTTACTGTTTGCCTTAACTAGAAGGCACTTTCTGTGAACTTTTCCTGTTTCTGAAGGTGCTTTAAGTTTAATTCTATGTTATTGTCGTATACAGATAGTAAATGCAGTGAGTGTGCCGCTCCAGAGTCAGGTCCTTACCAAGGCCTAATCGGCTGGGGCTGGTTTCCCGGCTGCAGCCCTGGCTGCGAGGGATCCTGCTGCGCTTATCTGCCGGAGTGGTGGAGGCTGATGCCGTGGCTCGAGGGATCCGTCCGTAGCTGCTGTGACTGAGTAGCTTACCCGGAGAGCTGGAGCGACTACCGGCTGTTAGGACAAAAAAATAAAAAATTAAAAAGGACAAACAGGAAAAAAGTGGCTGAGATAGTCCTGTAAGGACACTGCAGCCCATAAATCTGACAGATTATGATGTGTTCTTCTATTTTAGGCACAAACCCATCCCATCTTTAAAGGTGAATCACAGTGACAACACAGAGCTTCAAAGACAGGTAAATTACAGTCGTAAACCATCAAGTGACCGAGCTGTGGTAGCCACTAAAACGGCCAAGTGGGACCATCAGATTTTAGACTTTATTTCTTTGCTTTTATTTTATTTTTGTAATGGATCTGTCTGTCTGTCCCACCCATTCACTGTTTTGTTTGTTACATGACAGGCCATCTAAAACAGGGACGCTAAACTCCACGGTTATGTGGCCCACCAGTTTTACATGGTGGCATCAACATTGAAAATCTGTGGGCCAGACCAGTGAAACTCTCCTCTCTGAGATATCTTAATATATGCTTTTTGTGACATTTTTGTTTGGTGGTGCGATGTGATTTTTCTAATGTAAAATATATGCTGTTGCTCCAAAACGTGGGGAAACACTGCTGTAGATAATGCTTAGTAAATGTGCACAATTACAGAAATATCAGGCTGTTTGTTTGTTACTACCACATGTCTGTTTTTTTTGTTTTTGTTTTTTTAGATGTGAAAGATTTCACAGATTTTCTAGAGAAACACTAAAAATATCTGAAAATGAAAAGTCTAACTATAAAATAATTACCAACAAATTAATGATTAAAAAAAAAAAAATACACACAGCTTTCCTCACAGAAACCATGTAGGAAGGAAACATGTGGCACACAGAAACACGTAACTTAGTCACTTGAAGGTTAAACAATCAAAAACAAAATCTACAGCTTGGACATGTGGGGTGAAGGAAGGAGGACACTTGTTCAAAGTAAATGGGGACAGACAATGCCTTCCACAGTGGAAAAATAACCCCAACAAAACCTCACAAAATTACTAATAGCTGGAAAGTGTGAGAAACATGCAGATACTGAAGGTGACACAACGAGACTACGTGCAAAGCTTTAGAGTGGACTTCATTTATAGAACTGCGTTGAATCACTGCTGTCGTTGGCGATGTCACCGTTTGCATTCGTATTTGAAATGTCATAGTTTGAATAAACTGCAGCAGTTTAATGTCTGCGACATAGAGGAGATGACACAAGTATGGTCGTTTTCTGATCATTCACTGGAGAAAAGTGCATTGTGGGTAATGCTTATTTACCAAAATTTACCAATTTTACCTATCAAATTTACTGTCTTGCAGCTGTTTCTTAGATTTATAATGTATCACTTATTAATGCAATTTGCACTACTCTCTTGCACCAGATGAGTCTTACTTTTCTTCACCTAACTTCAATTTAAATTTGTTTGTTTTTTTAAATCACTGTTGTATATATACCATTTTTGCATTCTCTCTTAAAGTATAAGGCCTTTAACATGCAATTAACTATGTTGTTTATTCATTGTAGACTGTACTATTTTATTCGTTATCTGGCTAATGCTGTAACACAATCATTTTCCTTGTGGGATCAATAAAGTCTATCTATCCAACCAACCATCCATCCAGTCGCTAAAATTAAATTGGTGCAGTTTTAGACTATGATGGGCAAAGACGGTGGTTGACTGATGTTACTGACTAAACAGTGAGGATACAATGAAGATTTAACGCAATGCTATAAGTCAGGTATGAAAGGTGAGGCATCTGTCTTGTGATTGGTTGAAGCTGAGGCCTTACCACTGATGGGATTGGCTGATCTTGATCCTGGGTGATGGAAGCGATAGGCAGGACAGGGTGGAGATCGAGATCAGTCAGAATGAGACAGAAGGGGTTATGTTCATTGATTTGTTCCCAGCATGCACTCTGGGTGGCTGTGGACATGTTAGCTGTGAGCTCACAGATCTAAGCAACGTACAAAGATAACACAACACACACAAAAGCAACAAAGCGTGCATGTATGGAGGCACACATACACAAAAACACAAGACTGCACAGAAGAAACACATGTCGAGGGGATGTTAAAGCAGCACACAACAATGAACGTTCAGCGCAGGCTTTGCAGCTTTGTAAAGCCGGATGTGCAAAAGCTGGTTAAACAGCTTCACGCTCACATTTCACTCTAACATCGCTATTTAAGCACGTGCATGAGGTGTCTATACATACGCTGGGACTGTGAGACCACTTTGGCCCGACTTCGCCCCCTGCTGTCCACCACTGAAGAAGAGCTGGCTCCGCCAACGCTGCCCGAGCTCTGTCTCCTTGTGCGAACGCGACCTGGATGAAAAGAAAAGGGAGAAAGAGCAAGAGGGGGGGTAGAAGGTTTAATAGATGGGAGTGACTGACTGCGGTTCAACCCAGCCCTGGACAGAGATGCTGGAGAAGAAGAAGTCTGAGGAAACAGAATGAAGCAGACCTGGATGAGGAGACAGAGCTGCTCTGAAAACATGAAGGGGAAACAGACACACCTGGCTTTGTTAGTGTTCACAAATAGTTCTCAGTGTTTCTTGTGACCCGCCAGACAGGAAAGGCATTCCTGAATCTGTAACTCGTGCTATTCAGAAAAGGACTTTTTAAAGACCATACATTGAGATAATTCCAATGTTTCATTAAAAATGAACTTAAAAAGTAATTTTTTTAAGGTAAACTCTGTGTTCATATGTAAAGAAGGGAAATAAGAAAGATCTCTAAGTTCCCTTGCCCACCCAATCAGTAGATAGTCATCGTCCATGAGCCTCATTCTGCTGAATGTCTACCTGCTGTCTTAGTGTTGCCCCGTGGTTCTCATAGGAAATCAATGGATTATTGGGTTTATTTCTATAATATTGTAGGGTATCTATGTTGCTTTGATTTTTGCTCTGAAAAAGGGTGTCTTGGGTTTGGAAATGACGTGTTCAGCAGTTTAGTGCATGGCCGCATGTCACTGGAGTGTATTGTGGTGATCGTCAAAGGTTATTTGCTTTGCCTGTTTAGTAATTCCTTGCATTACTTTTCAGTTCTAGAGTTTGGATTCAAAACAATTCTGTGTAATTACAATAAGCTTCCTTCATTCATGGTAAGAAGGGCTGTCACTGTCATCTGTCCATGCAGGCCAACCTAGTATGGTAATCAATAACTGGTGTTTTAATTTAATGTGCGTGTTGTAATTTCTCAGGTTTTTAAGAGTCCATTGAACATGGATTCTCTTCTATGGTTGTTTATGGTCTCGGTCTTTGATTTCAAGTCTTAATGAATCAAACCTGATGTTCATTTTGGAAATTATTGTCCCATTAGAGTCAAAAAGGACCTTAAAGTATGAGATGTTTTAAGGCAGGACTACCTTGTGATTGACATGTTCCTCTTGTCCCAGCATGGAGTGTCTCAGTCAGATCCACCCCTTGACCAAAACACTAAGCTAGGCTCAAGGCTGAAAATCCCTACCTGACATGAAGTCTCGGATTAACTTATGCAAGCAAAGCTAACCACTTCCTTTTTACCCTAACGGAAACCACAAGAAATATCTTCAGACTTTTTGACCGAGACTTAAAGATAAACAAACACTGAACATCCTTCAGAGCTACTCTGTGGCTGAAGAAGATTGTATAACTGTAAAGAGTACTCTGATATTTTAAACATGTACACCTTGTTACATCACATATTCTACACAATAATTAAAATGCATTCTGCACTTTTAGACAACATCATAAACCTTCATAATTCCAACCAAGAAGAACTGATAAACTGGAGGCAAAAAGGTTACAATCAGTTCGGCTTTAATTATCATAACCTTCTCAGGTCTAAGTCCTCAGCAATGATAAGTAACCCTAACTGCCACCTTTGGATTTTCCCACATGCTCTCTACGGTCTTGGGAATTGGGGACAAAACAAACATTCAAACTTATATGCAACAAAAATTATTTGCATTGCTGAAAGCTAAAAGGGTAACTGAAAATCCATCCTGCAGGGCATTTGTGGAAGAAAAGCTAAAATATCTTTCTATCCTAACTTTTTATCTTCTGCAGATCTTTTTGCTTTTGATACAAATGTATTTCTGCGATAAAGGCTTTCATCCTCTCACCTCTACAGCCCTGTTATAAAGTGCGAGGTGCAATAAAAGTGAAGACAGCTGCAACCGCCCAGTCTGCAGGTTCACTGAACGATTGTACGATAAGTTATGGGCAAAAGCCAACTCAGCAAGAACATCTAAAGTGTGCTCTTATGCAACACGTCAAGAATAGCACCTGAAAACTGGCGACAATGATAACAGGGATTATACAACATGCTAAAAATAAATCCCCTTGAGGCGTATAGGAAGTGATTAGACTGTGTGCGTTATCTCTTCATATATTCATCGAGACTTACAGCAGATCATAAAAAACCTTATCTGATCGGCCATTCAAACTCATCTACACTAATGACACCACTCAGGTTTTCTGTGGAAAATCACAGAGTGGATTGGATTTTTCTGACTGTTCCTTCCTCTCACTGTTTGCATTTCTTGATCCATGGAAGAAGGCTGAGCTTCTTTATTACACAGTTTCAGGCATTGTACTAGACCGCTGCTGGTACAGTGAGCATCAGTGCACGTCCACCTGCGGCTGCAGGCTCAGTAACAGAACTTCACTCGCTCTCCTACCTGCAGAGCGAGGGCTGCAGCGGCGGCTGACTGCACCTCTCATTACGTCTCACACTTGGCACGACATTACAGAGCAGCCGTTGTTTACAACCACGTTTTGGTTTTTATCATTACAGCTCTGACACAATTTAAATGGGTGTAACACTGACTGACTAGCTGAAGCTACTGCTAGTATTAGAATTAAACTGCAGTTCCCTTTAATGACACCTTTTTAAAAAAACTTGCCTGCTTAAACTGTATTAAGGCTTAATGTTTGCATTATTAGGGGTGTGCCTGATTTTTTTAAATGGAAGTGTCTGACTAAAACAAGACATATGAAAATTCTAGGACTTTATCTGGATATTATTGAGCACCAGTTTGTGTCTGTGTTACACTTGTATACAGTCTGCAGATGCGTCTTGATAAAGTTACCTGAAAAGTTCAAGCGTGATCAGATGTGTGCCTTGTGTCTTATTCCCATTACTGTGGACGTTTGTCCTTGGTCTGTCTTTCAGTTTACTGCCTGAAGGTTGCTTTTACTTCCCTCCTTTTCCTTCCATCCTTTCATTCGATGTGTTTTTTTCCTGTGATCTATTTTTTGAAGTCATCAGAATCTAAGTTAGTTTTTAGTTTGTGTCTTTTTTCATTAGCGTTAAACAACACGAGGACACTTCAAAGAGACCCCAAACCTATGAGTGGCACTGGAGGTAGCAACACCGTGACAGGAAATCAAACTGTGGACCCATTTAGTGCATGCCACCCTGCAGCACACCATGAGAACCTTTTCTGTAGAGTATGATACAGTAACAGTGGATTCAACTGCTGTTCAAATTAGACAGCTGATGGATACATTTGGGTCATTCCATAAAAAAAGAAAATCAACCACATCAGAAAAGACCTGAAGCCTCAAAATCAACTGATTTTTTTTTTGTACATTAACTTCAGTATATTGAGTGAAGCCTTCATACTATGACTATTTTCTCAGTTACTGACCCTCAAAGTGCATTTTTGATTCCTCATAACTTCACAAATATAAGATTTTCCACATGAGTAAGCTCCAACTTTACTTATGTACTCTGATGGTCTGTAACGCTGAGAATATTCAAAGTATGGAGGTAAAATTTAGCGTGGTGAAGTTATTGTAGAAAAATGTGAGGGAGTCAGGTGGTAGCCGCTGATTGATTTTTCATGCAGTGACCCGTTTGTTAGGGTTACAGTCAGAAGGAGGAAATCCATGCAGACAGTCCATGCAGAGGTCCACAAAACTAGAAAGACTACTTAGAAGGGATAAAGAGAGGAAAAGAGAGCACAGATGAAGAGGAAATGTAAACATTGTGACATCTGACAAAAGAGAAACACTCATACACACAGTTCTTACCATCACTTTTACCAGGAGTGCCATCTATGGGGCATTTAAGAAAGGCGGTGCAGCAAAGAGTGGGAGGAGAGGCACAGAGGAAGTCATTAGTAGCAATTGAAGCAGCAACAGGCATGAGTGGGTGAGCAAGGGGCCTCATCGTAATTAGTTAGGGTCATTATGGAGCCATAGGGACTCATTGGAGGAGAACAAAGCAGGGAGAGAAGTTTGTGCATGGGGAAAAGATTACACAAAATATCTCATCTATTGGGAGGGAGTGGCTTAAACTTCTCGCATTAGCTTAAACAGGCGGCCATCACAGCAGGGGGCCACTCAGCCTGAACCAATCAATTTGTGTAAAGTGTCAGTGGAGGACTTAAACAGTTCCTGTTGACAGAACAGTCTAATGGCAACATCAGCAGTTATTAATATTCCCGGGCAGCTCCATAAAAGCCACTGATTACAGGAGAAATGCTTCAATAGCTCAAGATGACAGGAGAGACTAATCTGTTTATTTGGGACTTTTGCTAAACTGCTGCTTTAGTAGTTCTTACTGTAACATGGAAGAGGCTCAGTTTGCCCCTCAGCTACTTGAGCTGCTCTTCTAAACATCATGGCGCCCAGGAAATGCGACTAGTGTCATATTCACCCAACGGCGGGTGGAAATTATGGGGTCAGAGGGGTCACCTTCTTCTAGGGAAAACAGTGTTCTCCTCATTTAACCCTTCTAACTGTAAAATAGAGATGAACTGATTGATCACCCTCAGAAAAACCTATAGAAAAACCTTGCTGCTCATCTGTCCAGAAATCTAAGTACCGGTCAGGGGAATGGCATTAACTGTACATTAAATTTAAAAATGACTGTAGTTCAGGATTTTTTATAAAATATCTAGTGGTTTTTCAAGGTGTAATTATAGAGTCAGAGTGAGTGATATGAGTCAGATCATTTTTATTAGTACAAGAAATCTATGTTCAAAGACAGAGGCTTCTGAAATGTGGTGAAGCTCTGTAACACATGACAAAAATAATCATATGATGAAACTGAACTCCTGTAATGAAAAACCAGACCTAATTGTAATCAATGCATCTCGATTGTACGATATTGAATAAAATAATGAAAGGCACTGTGTACTGATAAGACTCCTTCACTCTGCAAACTTAAACGAAGGATCTGCAAGACTTCCTCTGTTTACTCTGTGTTGTTTGTTCACTGGGTGAATCCTATGGTTTGTTACTGGGGAGCTATCTGTCCTTGTGCACGTTTACGGAGAGCGAAATGTTTCATTTTGAGAAATAAGAGTGTGAGCAACTTGTGCTGAATACCAGAAAGTGGTCTTCCTTTTTGATTTGAGCGGGTTAGAAGGAGGAGAGTGATCAGTTACCTAAAGAGGCGTAGGATCCTGGTGGAAGAGCAGCTGCAGAGCTGAACGGCGAGGAGGCGGGAACAGTGGACAGACGAGACTTGGCGCTGGAGGCGGCGTTTACGTCGATGTCACTGCGGGAGCGTTGGAGGGATCCTGGAGTGGACGGCACCCTGGATCCCACAAGCTTACCTGTGGCAACACAGAGATGTTACTGTATCATGGCTACCTTATGATGCTTTTACATTTTCCAGTTTCAGGATCCATTTTCTACACTCAGATGGAAGCATGGCTGAACTTCGAAAGCACTTAAACTGAGTTTAAAAGCCAGATTCTGACATCTTTGTTGAATTCTTGTACTCCTTTTAAATCCGTTTTAATTCTTGTGCAAAAAGCTCTGTACTAGCTGTTGTAAAACACTCTGCAACCAACTGTGAACTAAATGTTCTTCTTGCTTTCTTTAGGTTTAATTTCCACTCCATGCCAACTGCCAGATTCTGCACGCATATGTTTTTACAGCACTACATGCATGTTGCACCTAAATAACTTTAATTTTAATTTAAGCTGGTTATGTAGTAGAGGAGGACAGAACAGACAGTTACTAATCAGTACAGAAACATCAAAAACCGGACTATAAGTCGACTTTCAAGGCAGAACAATGTAAATGTAATGTTGGTTGGGGTGGGCATCTACAATAAACCCTTCTGCTGAAATACTGCCACCTTGTGGTGACAGTTTTCAACTGTTTATTTTACTGCTGCAACGTGACTTCCACCATAAATTGAGGTGAATTTAACACACTTAACACAGCTCCGTAATTTAGATGTTTTTCTCTCATCTCTCAACTTGTGCAATCTTTCAGTCTGAGGCATCTTGTATTGATCCTCTAACACCCCATCATCTCTCCACCATCAAGCTCCCCGATTTTAAATCTCAGGAGTTCTTAATCAGCTTGGTCCAGGGGAAATGATAACGTGAAGTGACACAGTGCATGCGACTCAAAATGGAAATGTTCAGTGTATGCATCACTACTGAAACCCAAAGATGATCAGTCTCACTGATCTAAACATAAATCTGTTAAGAGCCAGGGTTCATCATAACCAATGCTCCAATGGGCCACGGCCAGTAAACAGGTTGGGCAGGTTGAATGGCCAACTGCTGGCTTGTCTACTTCAGTGGTCTTTTCACCTCAATAATAGAACGTTTTTTAAGTTATCATTGGCCTGCTTTCATTTTGAAGGAAATCGTTGCTGCAAGACATCATTGTGAGTGCTTTATTTATATTTGTGACTAAAAACAGATGCATTCAGACTGCAGTCAAAGTATTTAATATTCAGCCGCTACAAAAAGGTTGATTTCTGGAGGACCTTCGTCTCTGATGCAGAAATCCTGCTCGCTGGATACACCTCAATCCTCCAATCAGAGTCCTTTTATCAGAGCACCTGATTGATGAGTTTAAAGGTTAAGAGAAGTTTATTTACTGCTGCTTCACCAACCACTCCTTTGTTACCATAGAGAGAGAGAGTGAAGCTGAAGACGTGGATTTCCGCTGCAGAATACTGCTTGTTCACCACTCAAAATATTGAATCAATAAATAATTCCAGCTCTTTAACCTGTGACCTCAGGAATCTGTGCTTTTTGTGAAGCTTTCGATTTGTCTGAAGCCTTTATACAAACTTTATATCCTTTCCACGCTGACGAATCGAATAAAAAGATACTTACTTCTCGTCATGCTTCCTCCAATCACGCTCTTCACAGACAGTGGCCGGCTGGGGGAAGAAAAAAAGACACTTTTTAGAATTTATGTGTATCACAACCTAAGACTCATGATTTATAAAATTAAAATGCGTGGACTCCACTTTGGCACTATCAAATTCAGGTTCTAGTAAAAGCTTTGACTCATCAGCATCTAAACTGGGATAACCCCAAAGGACAAATGAGTTCAGACTGGAGACCACTGCAGCTGCAGGTCTGATGGGCCGAGCATGAGGTCATTACCCAAGTGCGCTCCACAGGGAGTCTACAAACGGGATTAATGATGGCGATTGATTCACCCACCCGCTGCACATCTGACAGTAATTACCAACATCTTTATCACCATATTCAAAACAGCAGATGCATTAGTGGTTTCATATCACTCAGTGAAATCCAATATGTGTGCTCAAGCTTTGAGGATGCAGGGACACGAGTGCTTCCAGCAGGAGGAGGAGAGTAGGAGCCAAAGAGCAGCGCGGTTCTTACTTCAGACTCTCCTGCGAAGACGACGAGGACCGGTCTGACTGGGGCAGAGACACGATGCTGTCTGAGCTCTTCAGGTGAGACTGGAGGGCCTTCTGATAGGTGGCCTCCAGCGCCTGGAAAAGATGTTCTGCCTCCCGGCTGTAGTGACCGTGAAAGCCCCAGTAGCACCTACAGGGTGGAAAAAAATAGAAGAGGCAGTGTAGTGAAAAACAAAAAAACTAACTAAACTTTCTCATTGAATTTTAAGACAGGACACTTACTTTCTAGCGATGGATCTGGCTTCAGAGTCGGCATCGTGGATTCCTTTCTTGATGGTCTCAGTGAGAACTGCCACGTGCCTGGGATAGTAAGGAAACATGGCAAGGAGAAACGGTTAAGACAGAAACGAGCTGTACTGATGATGTGGAGCACAAACAGCTCTCAGGGGAGTTCCTCGTTCCTCTCCTCTCTCCTACAGTTTGAATCCTCTGCTGATCCACAGGGAATGTAGCCACCCGTGGGGCTTTTCACCCGCTTTTTAAAGTCCCCGCTGCGGTTGCCATGGTTACATATATGGCAAGCAGGCCCCTTGATGATGATGATGATGATGATGGCTCGCTCAGGAGTCATCAATTTAACGGGCCTCATCAGCAGCTCAGCGAGCCAGCTCAGCTAACTGCAAATGCTCAACAACCTAAATGTCATCATGAGAGAGTAGAAGAAGAAGCTGCATGCACGTCTGTGCCTCAGCAGAACGCACGCACACACACACACACTCTCCTATATAGTATGCTTCCAGGAGGAAACAGCAGACTAGCTCACCTTTCCAGTGTATTGGTGTGCCACTCCTGCAGCATGAGGTCGAGAAACTCGTAACAGCGTCTGGAAAGAAATTAAAGTTTATATGAATACGTCTTTAACCTTTGGTCACTGAGATTCGAACCTGTCTGACATTTTTAGTAAATGCACCTATGGTATTTATTTGAAAATTCGACATCACCCCGTTCTCCAGTTAATACATTCACAAACTTAGGTGTCCATGCCACCCACCCGGAGGGGTAACAACAATATCCCGACAGCCCTTTAGGGCTGAGGAGTAAAATGTATAACTGCAAAGTAATTCAGAGTATTTATTCATTCATTATTCATTTCACTGGATTTAAAGTAAACAATAACCTTTCTGTGGCTGAAGCTCCGACTTGAACATGAACTCTCATG